AGAAGTTTTTCCAGCTGTTTTACGCTAATTGCTTCACTCAACATTTGGTTTACTATATCAGGTTATCTAACAATAAGAAAGGACATTACCCTTTCGATAACTTCATAATATTCTTAGCTGTACATCTGCACAGCTGCTGTTTAATCCACTATTACGGTACAATTCCATGAAAACAGTGATGTTAAATTCAATGTTACATCAATTACATACATGCTAAAAGAGTATTTTGTGACTAGGGCCGGCCAACTTTCTAGTTCTCTCTCTTTTCTCTAGGGCTGACGAGTGGAAAGATTGAATTATCGGTAATATTTTTCATACTATGGACATAATGTCTGTTGCCACGGTATATTTAACAAACATCAGCACAAACTGTAACAGATTCTCGTCAAGTTGCATGTATATTTGAGTGAAACAAAGAATATGGCCATTGAAACACTCGAAAACACGGAGTTTATTATTTTTTTGCCTGACTTGAAAATAATTAAAGCTGATTGATCCATGGGCATAAAGGCATGATTGATTAAGAATCCTATAGCACATTAGAAATGATGAATTCTTGGGACATAACTCTGGTTAATTGCTGCTGGTAAGAAGACATGAAGATATAAAATTTATGTCTTAGTTATATAAGTTTGAAAAAAATGCTTCTGTTTCCACTTTGGGATTACAAATTACCGTCTGATATTATTTTCTTGTTGTACATTAAAACTCAACAGCTTAAGTATGTTTCACAATAAACTGAAGACACAAACATGTTATGAATTTAAATATGTTCGAAGTCCGGCTTCCCAGAATTGCAACGTTGAATCATCTTTTTATTCAAAACCAACTTAAACATACAGGAAAAGATTGATTCAAGTTTCTTCATGTTCTTTCATTAGCACGTTGAGAGGAATCCGTCATAGCTTGTAATAAGCGGTTAATGTAAAAACCTCTGCCAGTGGGTGGAGTTTTTTGAGAATATTTTCGCCAAAATTTTAATATAGTCTACCAGCTGGCAATTAATGAAAGTTGAAGATCATAACAAAGTCATGTATGTTTGAAAAAAATTTCCCATTCTTAATTGGTATCACTGGCTGCATGGAGATGAAGGAAGATAACGTTGGAACCGTTCCTTCCACGCAGCTTGCTGTGATTGAAGTTAACACTCCGTTACGCCTTTCCCGCATATTTTATCACTGCCAACAATAACAAGAAATGAAGCTCAATTTTGTACAAAAGACCGACACAGCAGGACAAAAATAAACAAATGGGTGTGCGACTAAATTGACCGTCTTCTAATCGAATGCAATGAATATAACAGTTAGGAAACGAACAATAAAAATGACAAACATGTGATTTAATAATCGCTCCGTAAACAGCTAAAAGTCAATGGAAACTGTAAAGCTTTTCGCTTTAGTCTTGAAGTAATCAACGAGACGATTTTTTTCTAAGCTCTCTAGTAAATTTCTTTGTGCGGTTAGCAAGTCGATGTGGACGATTTCATAGACACTTACGAGAATTTTGTGGGCGTCACCCGCTGTCTTGCCTATGGAAAATAACAAGTCGTACCTTTGTTTGCCTGGTTCGACAGGTGCTTTTTATCTGTGAATGAGTGAAAGAGAGATGTAAATAAACTCAGAGAGCTTAAAGCATGAGTCATAAATCTCTCGCCTTATTGTCCAAACAATTTTCGTCAGGGGGTCAGAAAACATTTAACCTCTGCTAAAATCCAACATACTAGGTCGTTTGACATGTTGGTAAATCCAGTGCACTGTTTCAGAAGTTCATACGTTATTTAGAGGGGAAAACAGCTGTTTCTCAATCTGTTTGGAGAAAAAGAGCTAAAAAAAGCCAATTCATTAACTGATAATTGAATATTCTGGTACAGATATTTGAAAAGATTGTTGACAATAATTATCACACAGAGGAAGATCAGAACGGATTTTCTTCTTCGAATTTACGCTGTAGAACTAAGAAACATTCATAATGGGAGAATGTTATGTGAAGGTTGTTCAGAGAAAATGAAAACTGAGTGGCATTTTAAATGCCAGATAGAAGAAAACTTGTCAATCATTCTTTTCAGGTTTCTTGTCGTCAGTTTAAATGTATGGGAGAGCAGCTGAATATTAAGCGACGCCGTTGAGTTTCCATATTTCATGTAATTAAACTTGGTGACGGCAAGAGTCAGGAAAGAAACATATGATTTATTATACTCTGTCCAAAACAATTCTAATTCTGTTCATAATTAGAGACAAAATGTTGTTTCGAAGCAAGTATATTTATATTTAACCGAGTTACCTTCACTTGAGGATTGGACTATTGATGAATCGAGAGACCACGAGCAGAACCGCCTTTCTTCTGTTGTAATAAAAGTTTGTGTGCCCACAACACTGATTTTTTTTTTGTAAACCGGCTAGTTTAATAAGAACACTCCTAATCTACAGAAAACCAACGCAAATCGTGTGGAGTCTGATGAACACCGTCTGTTGTTTATTTTGATAAAGGCCTTATCGGTAATTGGTCATAATTCGGAATATTGGATCGTATTTATCCTCTTATTAAACATTTGTATTTAACTGTGCAATTAATTAGTCGACTGCTAATATCTTTTGAGACTATCGGCGTTAATCTTCTCTCGCTTTTTCTTTTTTTGCACAAGTTGTCTTGATTCTCAGTGAAGCTGGGGTGTCTAATGTAATTATTACTCGATAAAAAGCTTCGATGACTCGTGTTGTTTGTGGCGAGGTAAGACCTGTCTTTCCAGCAGAGACAATCTACCGCACATGTTCTTTACTGTTACTGAGCTGTGAATCATGTTGTGTTATCAAATAGAAGTGCGGTTTAGAGTTATTAAACTTGAATTCATTTTAATTCCTTCTTAATTGAGAGCAAACAAAGGGTAATGGGTGCCTTTTGTTTCAAGTGCACATGTTAATATTAAGAAATCTGCCGCCTAATTAACTCACTCTCGCTGGCTTTTATAAACTCTTTGTTTCACTGTGTTGTTGCTGTGTAAAATTCGCGACCTTTCCATTTTAAATCTCATGCTTTGGGAACAACAATAGATTCCGTGTAAATAATTTATTCCATGCTTGAAGCAAAGAAGTTGGCACTTATAAAAACTATCATTAAGTTTCACAAAATGAAACGTTACCTTAATTCAAACTTTGTACAAACACTATGCATAATTGCTTTTAATGAAACTTCCCTTTATCTTCAATAACGTACAATTACTTCTTCGTGTTTTTCTTGGCAAGACTTATTTTGCTTTTATCGCTTGAATAACCTCGTGATCAAAGGAGAGGTTATGTAATATTTTTTACGCTGTCAAAAGAATCAGAATTCTAATTTTCTGGAATAAATATTTGACGAAGGGTGTGTCAAGAGGTTTATTACCCGAACCTAGACGCTGGAGAAAAAAAAACAGAAAATTGTTTATTTCCTTTTCATCACGAGATATATCATAATTCCACTAAACATAAACTATTTTATCACGTAGAAAAAGTAGAACCGAAACACAAAGATTATGCTTTACTACGAGTATCCAAGCAAGTTTCGAGACTTCCAACAAACTTATCATGGTCTGAGAACTGCTCAATCTGAATGTTGATGTTTGATCTTACAAAAGTAAGCATCTGATCTTCTTTACTTTTTCCAAGTAGATTTACTTTTTGAATTTCCCTCACTGTCCAGGTTTTAGTTAAAATTCGTTTTCTAATGTTCACTGATTAAAACATGAAAGACAAAGGCAAAAAATGTCTGTCGCTCTTCGCATGTGACCTGAGGTGAGTTTCACAACTTTGGTAAATGTCTCTGCGTAGAAATTTATTAATTGCCCTCAAAAAGGAACGAAATAAAAGTATCACTATTGCTTTTTTTTATGTTATTTTATTTTAGTGATTCAGCCCCAAGGACGGTTCATTCTTTACGGCGCTTTGCGCTTTAAAACTTGTCACAATAAGAGCGACAATTTTCGTTACTACGAGAAACAAAACTTTTTAGTTTCAATAAAACCAAAAGGAAGAAAGACACTGATGAAAAACCTACAAAGAGAAAAATTGGTGACAATTTTGTCATGGGCCTGAGACAAAGAAAAAAGTACCTTTCCTTACAGGGGCTAAAATCGCAGTTCTGTATTTGCAGTTAGATGCTCTGCCGAGTGAGCCACCAAGAACTGTCTATACTACCTCTCAGGCGTACTGCATGCGGAAAGGATTAGCAATATCGAGTGCATCCTGTGTTAAGATAGAGCAAAAATACGATAAGCTTGCGACACAACTGATCAAAGTAGTATGGTGGACGCATTAAACACTGGCGTAAACCTTGTAATGGCCCGGCCTGACTCTCCAGAGAGCTCTCAGTAGCTTAATGGTGGAGCATCGAAGCGCGCGGAATTTGCGAGTCTGAGGTTCGATTTACTAATGGAGACTCAGATTTCGTCTTTGTCCCACGCTAGTTCATGATATCTTTCTTTGTTTCACTACGTACCAAGCTGAAAATTGTCTATCTTTCCTATTCTACACGGGATCTTTCGTGTTTACGTCCATTTCGGTTTGTCACACTACAGTTCTACTGGAAGGGAGACTACTGTTCTGAAGATACGCACACCAAGTTCGTAAGTCTTCGTTCAAATTTCAATCAATACAAATTTATAAACATAAATTTTCATGAACTAGAACGTGCTTGTATAGAACGAAAACATAAGTGTTTCATACTCTTACAGATTCTTGAACGGCAAATTACGTAGAAGGAAATCCTTCTGCGTTATAGGGCAAGATTTCCACCACATTTTGATGGTATGTAGCGGGACTTTAAAAGCGATGTTCAACGAGTCAGCCAGCGCTAGATTTCTAGAGTGAGTCAGCCAGCGCTAGATTTCTAGAGTGAGTCAGCCAGCGCTAGATTTCTAGAGTGAGTCAGCCAGCGCTAGATTTCTAGAGTGAGTCAGCCGGTATAAAACAAACGCATGCCTACCTAAATACAAAAACATTTCTTTCTGAAAAAAAATTTAATTCAAACTCATATTATTGCAATAATATTGTCAGGTATATATAATGATATATAATTTATGAGACAACACAAACCTCAGTAAAATTTCGTCAATAATATTGTCAGGTATATATAATGATATATAATTTATGAGACAACACAAACCTCAGTAAAATTTCGTCAATTAAGCAACTTATTCTGGGCACAGTACACGTGTTTATTACACCGAGAAAAACGTAAATTGTAAATTTTTTTGATGCTGTAAAAGTATGCATACAAAAAAATATATTAATAAAAAATTATAATTTATATTACAAACATCGAGGGAAGGAACTCTCAGCTCAAGTGGTTTCAAAAATATACTTTCTCTCATTCTCAAACTGAGGAACTGACTCTTCATTGAGTCACAAGCTATCTTTGAGAACTTCATTTTTGTCCTATATCTTACATGTCTACAGTTTTTTCTTTGGTTGATTTATTTTATTTAACTCCCATGGTCCACAAAACAGTGGTGTCGGTTTCTATGGTAACAACTCCACTTCCGTCATATGTGTTTGATGTACTGACCAAGGTTCCAAACTCTAACTGACCATCACCTGTGATAAAAATTCAATAAAAAACTTGACTGTGAGAAAATCAAAGAAAGAAAACTTGAATAAACATAAGGGAAAAAGGGAAATACGACTAAACATCGGAAGGGCCAACATTCTAGTGTTACCACAGTGGTCGCCAACCGCAATACTGGAGCGTCGCGGGACTGCAGTTAAACTCCATCTAATAGTTCCCGAAGCATCCCTCGAGACTACAGTTATTCTCTGACTGCGGAGCAACAAAATTGTGCAACAATGATCCAACACCTGAAGTCGTTACAAATAAGTGGTGTTTATTTCAGCGAGGAAACGTCAATTTCCTGAGAGTTGTGCAACTTTAATAGTAAGGGTTACAGAGAATATGTTTTTAGCCCTCTAACTTCATAAAATTTTTTAACGAATATACTAGCCATAAAAAAAGTGAAGTTGACTTACTTAAGTTCCATTTCAGGCCAGTTGTAGTAATGTGTGTACACTTGGCGCCTATCGGTATAAGCCCGCACCAGTCTCCTTCTAAACCAGTGTTCGCGTGGATGACATGATTTCCCTTACATGGAAAGAGAGATCATTAAACGCTGCCAATACTCATCACAAGTAACTTCAAGATTACGCGGAAGAAAGGCATGGGTTTGCAGGGGTGGATATAGGATTTTGCAGTTTTCTACTAAATGTCCGGAAGTATGCGGTCAGGTTTTAAATTCCTTGCGAACAGGCACTCATTATCAGCCCTACGGGACGCGTGTCCCTCCGCCCGCGGAAAGATTTGAGACGAGTTGGAGAGAGGTCTGCCGGGGGTCTGGCACTCAAGATATCAAGGTTAGTTTTCGAACTGGTCCTCATTATCAGTGGACTCACACTTTTCTGGAGGCTGAGAAACAATCGTGTCTAGGGACTCACACTTTTCCGCAGGCTAAGAAACAATCGTGTCGCATGCTACTGGGACAGCAACGAGATCATCGATAGAGTCATGTGCCCTCTCGTGAAGAGCTTTGTGGTTGTGTTTTAAAAATACTTATTGTTTCGGGCTCTTACTGAAGGCCAATGAAGACGGGTAAACAGGGAAGGTCGAAGAAACGCTCGTGTCGTAGCGCTAATAAAGGTGGGCATCATCGAAAGGTAAAGAAGGATTTATGTCTCTCCTAGGGCGTGCCCTAGCCACTCCTTTGATTTGAATCATTTGGAAGACAAGGTCCCAGAAAAGAAGTACAGCTACTCAATCACTACAGTAAGGGAGGTGGGGGAAAGGGGGAAAGGGGGAAAGGGGGAAAGGGGGAAAGGGGGAAAGGGGGAAGGGGGGAGGGGGAAGGGGGCAGAAAATTAAGTTAAAATCCGAGGTACCCGTATTTACCGGCATGAGAAGACAAGCTACTGAGTCCTCGGACATCAAATAAAGGGGTTTGTTTGTCAGCTTTGTGATGTGAAACATGGTTTCTATGTTAGCCATGGTGTGGTCAAGACGTCCACCAAATGCATTCATAACAACAATCTGATCAAACTAAAAAAAACACATTCCAATATATTAGACAGTGTGAAAAAATCCTCAGGGTGGGTTGGGCAGGGGCTGAAGCTGCTGAAAGGAGCCAGCAAGTAGAAAAAACCTCTCTTTAAGAATTCACCAAATGGTTGTTTACCTTGAAAGTTCTGAGAAATAACGTGGCCTTTTTTTTAGACTAGATGCTAAAACAGGAAAGGTTATTAGGTTCAGAAACCTGTTTTATGTCAAAAGTAAACAAATTAAATAGTTTACATTGTACCTCACTGATGCTTTTGTTGCTTATTAAAATTCTAAGACACTTGGTTAAGTCTGTTTCATTCTGGTCTGGGGTAGGGATTATCTCCACGCCCTGCAAAAAATGTAAGAGTGGAGTGCTAATGAAAAGTGATCAGCAGATTTTACATTTAATTTTGTCTGCCCATGGCCATAAGCCAGGATAAAACTCACCTAGTTAATAAAGAGCACAAGAAAGGTTTACTGCAGATTCACATCCTACCTTTCCCTTGTAAAAGTTTAAAATGTCAGGATCAACTGAGTCAAAATCACCACTGATATAGTCTGGCAGATATCTAGTGTAAATCACATAACAGAGGGCAGCACAAATTTAGTATTAGCTTACTGTGACACCTTGAAAGCCTGGTGAACACCATAACCCTTAGGAATGTCATTCTGTTCCAAGGAAAAAGCCAATTGAGTGTGAGAACAAATAAACATAAACAGTAACTATTCATGATTTTGAGATTTTCTTGTGTGTGTTGAATGCCAATATGATTGTTTAGTACACAATCAACCTCTAGGAATTAAATCAAAGTGTTCATGATTTTCTAAGTTTTGGTTTCTAGGTCTCTGGTGAAGAATAACAGAGATGTCTCCTTAAGGCTCATACAAGTTACATGTAAACTCACTTTTCTTGCTCCTCACCAACTACGTTAAAAACTTGGCTGCTGCCTCCATCAGTGTAACTCTTAACACTTGCTGCAGAATGACAATAAATATACTTTTGAGCCTACCTCATCATAAAAAAATAATTGATCAAAAAAGCTTTGAACTAAGTAGGAAAATTTTTTAAATATATAAGTTCTTTAACAAATACAGAAATAAAAAATAAAAACATTGGAGAGCATGCATCAAGTTATAAGGATGGAAAAGATTACCAAAGATGACAACTGAAAAACTTGATCAAAAAATTTTAGAGGTCTGATGAACAATTCGACAGCAAGCTATCATGGAATTGAACAATTTAAAATGGCCTTGGCTAAAAGTAAATTTCATTCATTAATGTTCTTATGTAATGTTATTGATCACAATATTTATCTCTGACTCTCTTAAAAATACTTCAATGTTCAAACTGAAATTGATAGAACTTTTGATCACCAGAAAGTTTACATGTCACTCACCAATATTGCACAATTTCTTGAACTTGTCAAACATACCACCTAATGGCATATTTATTACAATAAGGGCAACTTTCAATTCCTTATCGGCTGGAAAAAAATTGAAATATTGTTATCAATCAATCAATTGATTATTAAGTCCAACTCATAGTTAATCCTTCAATTACCAATTGAATCTTATCAATCATTCAGTCAGCAATCAATCAAACAATCAAAAGTACATAACAATTTGCAATTCCACACTTCCTTCCAAAAAAAGGCAGATTGTCCTCCTGGTACAAAGTTTGGGAACCGTACCTTTATTTCTTTGCATGCAAGATGACAAACAAGCCAAAGGAGTCCACTCAGTGGCCATGATCTGGAAGAGAAGAAAAACTCCGTAACCGATTTAAAATGTAATGCTGTAAGAATGCTGACGGAATCAAAAATATACCCTAAGCTCTCTTGAACTACCTTCTCTGAAAAGGAAAACGAAAGTCTTCAATGGACTACATCTGGTTGCAACAGAGGGTTTGAGAGAGTAAAGATTTTTTATCTCCAGTTGTTCTGTTGTCGAACGTGCGTGAAATCTGAAACGGTGTAGTGTTGTCACGCAACATGCAATCTTACCCAATAGTTGACGTCACGAGTGAAACAGTGAAATTCCTGATAGCGAAGCAATTCTGGCAGCAATGGAGCACGAAAAACCACCTATAAAGATTGTCTTCCTCGGAGATTCTGCGGTTGGAAAAACACCTTTGTTACTCCGGTTTATTTCCGTTCGAAAATTTAGTTCCAGTGTTCGACTTTGCTGATAGTGTGACAGTGGAAGGGAAGACTTACCAAGTGGACTTCCTTGTCATCGGCAGCTCCAGCGGCGAAGAATATAATCGCATTCGACCCCTTTTGTACCCAAACACTGATGTTTTTATGTTATACTTCGACGTTACAAATCGCTTTTCGTTTGATAGAGTCAAACAGACATAGATTCCAGAAATTCACCACTTCATGCACTTTGTACTAAACGTGTTGGCCGGAAACAACATGGATCTCAGGAAGTAAATCGAACCCAGTCTCTTATCATTCAGTTCTGGACTAGTAGCTGGGTCCGCAAGGCATCAATATGTAGCCTGAAGTATCTTTTAACACAACTTCAGAAGTAAGTGGACAACAGCTCTTAAAGAAACTAGGATTTACCAGGTTTCTATTTTCAGCAAAACCTGACTTTACTTCCTAGAAAGCAATAGATATAAAATTTAATTGTTTATTTTAATAAGAAATTGTGATCAGATGTACAAATACTTGCTCCACAATGATTAGAAAAAAAACCGTTTGGTGCGTATCCCAGTATTGACGGGAAATTGACAGAACAAGGACACAAACTGAGCACAGTGTCTTGTGAAGAAGCCTGGAAACTAGCTAAACTGCATCATATATACGTCATATGTTGAGAACAGTTCATTAACAAGAGACCAAGTTTATGAAGTCGTTCACACTGCCATCAGAAAGGTTGCTTACCTGAGGAAGCTAAAATCTAGGTGTTGTTGTCATCGAGGACTTTTCAAGAGGAATAAATGCAAACAGGACAAATGATAACCCCAAAGAACAAGCTGGTACGATTAAAAAAAAAACATTCCAAGCCTTTTACCTGCGGAGTGGACCCTTTTTGGAGCTACCTTTCCCCCTCCTCTTTGCAAAGGTATGTGGAAAATTTTCCCAGCAGTATGCTATTGAAGAATTTTCACGCTTTATGTTTTTTTAAAGATACCTGAAAAAAGCCTAATTTACAAGTTTCTGGCAACAACTGGAGCCCATCAAAAGCATTTATCTGAATATAAAACGGAACAAAAAACTCAGACATCTAAATCCTATTTGTACGCAGGTTCTTCTGTTAACCTCCCCTCCCTTCTGGCTGTCCTGAATTTGTCGCACTTGCCTCCCCTCTGCATGAAAAAATAAGAAAAGTCTTCATATCCGTTTCCATGGCCCCCAGCTGTTCCGGGTTTTCCCATCCTGTCGCTCTGATTAACATTAAAGAACTGAAACGTTCAGCCGTAATAGAAAAGTGGTTGCTTTTAAAACTTACTTTTCGAACTTACTTGTTCGTCTTTTCTCGGGAGACACATGATCCGAATACAGTTCTAAAACGAACCCCCCCCCCCCTTACCTCCCGTTCCCGTTCGTTTCCTCCCTCCTATGGGTGAACCTCGTGTTCCGCCCCAACCATTCCCACCAATGATTTTTTTACTGCTTACGGTTGCGACATATTAGTTACACCACGTCTCATAAATGCATCTCTTGAGGCATGTTGGAATTAAAGTGATGATTTCTTTTACTTATTACGGTTGCGACATATAAGTTACATCAAGTCTCATAAATGCGTCTCTTCAGAGTGATGTTGGAATTAAAGAGATGTTTTTAAAAAAGTTTTTACTCAAGTATTGCGAAATCACTTGCACCTGTATTGAGTATAGCAGCTGGCAGTGGTCTCAGGCTCTCCCCAAGGAACATGGATGAATTAAACAAATTCAAAGGGTCGGTTGATAAGTTTAACGACAACGATGGCAAAAAAGAGCAGTTCTAGAATGTTTATAATCCTTTGAAGTTATTTTTTTCGTTGTCTCTTATGTGCGTGAAGAGAAGTATATCTCCAGACAATACGAAAACATCAATGGGCTCTTTTACATTTGCGGAAAAAGTAGAACTGAATTGAATTTCCGCTTTAAAAGCCATTTCCATGAAATTTGTGAAATTGTTTTCGATAATTTTTCCCAATAATACAAAACAATGGTCCATTATTTTTTTTTGCTCTTACTTAATGGAAAAAAGCACTCGGAGTACGCGAATGGTTGGAAACGAAATTATTTACGGTTTTACCGCCACTTTTGCTACATGACTTGACATGATATAGTTCAAATAACATTTTGAACCTGATAGCTTCAGGGATTAGGAGAGGCAACGGACTAAATATCCGTGGGCTTTTGTTTTCATTTCGTCCTATTATTTCGTGATCTTTTGTTTATGCGTGTTGAGAAGTGATTATCGAAGAACAGAAGGTTTACTGTAGGAAATAGAACAACGTCGTTGATTGGCTGAATTCTTACTGGTCGAGGAAGCCTGAATCTGAAATGGGTAGCTCTCTTCAAAAGAACATTTCTAAAGATTTCTTCACCTGTATTTTGCATTATACGGCTTCGTGGTGGAAACGTCCTTCGCGGTACTTTTCCTCTAACAGTAGCCTGTTTGTTCTTAAATTGTAACGAGAGGGTAAAGTATGCGTCGGTTGAAAGTTAAAGTAGTAGGGGACGGCGGAGTTGGAAAGACCTCCTTTCTCATTCGTTGGTACAAAGAGAACTTTCCTTCGGAAGATGATATACCGTTATTTCCAGGACGGGAACGGGTTTTACCTTCTGTGCAAGATCCTTTCTTCACGAACATGACTGTGGACCGAGTAAGCTATGTGCTAACTTTCTGGGACACAATTTGTGGAGCTGATTACCTAAAATTTCGACCCATGGAATACGAGGAGACTGATGTATTTCTCGTGTTTTTCGACATCTCGAATCCTAGCTCTTTCCAAAACGTCTCTACCGTCTGGGTGCCTGAATTGAAGCATTACATGCCCTCCACTCCAATCCTCGTCGTTGGAAACAAAACAGATTTGCGCAAAACATGGTAAGAATTTGTAATTTTTGAATAATGCTTTTGCATTATGGTACATTTAACAACCATGCAACCACACTCTAAAGCCTGTTACAAAGAAGCCCAACTTCTCTGCTCAACAGATGTCAGGTTTAAATCATTACGCTTCTAGTCTCGAAATTATTTTTACGGTTTTTCATGTATGAGAATCTGATTTTCTTACAGACTAGACTTTATACTTTCATTTTCTTTGTTTCAAGTTAATTTAGTGGGCAAAAGCGTGTTTTTACTCACGCTACGTCATTAGTGTTGGCCCGAAGCTGAGATTAAATTATTCCGCTTTGTTTCATAAAACTCCCTTCCGTTGAAACGTTGGAAACCGTTTATTTTTTCACTAAGGTTCATTTTTAAAGATAAAAAACACGAGCTCATAAGTTTATAAGTTCAATTTACTTCAGGCTCATTTTAATAAAGAAATATTTCGGCTGTCTATAGCGTAGTATATATATGCTTCAATAAATCTCCCGCGCCGTTTATTGACACAGAAACCATTAATTGTAACTACGAAATATATGAAGCATAACGACTTGTTCGATCTTCAGGTATATCTCTGATTATAGCTCCGTTAAGCTGATAGATTAAGCGGGGAAATTTGCGATATAATCATTTTAGACCGTGTTATTGAGGGGCAAACACGAAGTTTAAGGCGACATTTCATTTGTCTTCATTTTCATTTTAGGGAATTTCCTATGCTATATTGTTCCTGTCTAGCTGTATGTTGACGTAGGATTTACGTAGGTTCAAGACAAGCGGAAATTTTTTCATTGTTTTAGACAAGTTGTTTGGAAGGGCTATAAAGTTCCCATTCACCAGCTGTCCACAACTGTTGTTGTTTGCAATTAATTGTTCGATCTCCATATTTTATGAACTAGTGAAAAATATACGAAAGCAGAATTGTGAAAACATGGCAGCTGAAAGTGTTGGATTCCTTTAGTGTGCAACACATGTAAGCTTTTTATCATGCAATGCAAATCTGTAGGTATCTTCACTTGAAGCTTTCCTAGCGAACCTCGCTGGCCTTAGTTAGGACCTCAATTAGGAGGAATTGGAATTTCTTTTTTTTTTTTTTACTTACATTGCTAACCAAAAAAAAAGAAATTTTTGTAACCACTAGATGTTCTACACTCTCAAAACAAGGACATGAAAATAGTTCTCACCACTTTTTGGCCAATTTTCGATACAATTAAAGATCTTGTAATGGACACCATCAGGTTTATGTATTTACTCAGTTGAAGGATGACCCTACCGCACAAGAGCTGCATCACATACCTGCAGGATATTGTGTTTATTTATTCCATTGTTTTATGGTTTCAATGTTTTGGTACTGTTGTTTTGTTTTCAAATTGAGATCAGTGTATAAAGGCTTCTGAGCAGTGTGTACTTAAATTTTATGACATGGCCGAAAAACTTTGGGTTATGTAACAGCTCTTTGAAATAAACAGCACATTTCTAACACACAGTACAAAGGACAGACACACTTTGGCAAATTGGATATTTATTTAAATTTTTTAATTTGAGATTGCAGTAGAAGATGAGATAAGTACTTAGGTAAATTTTGATTGTCACTAACTTTCTGTTTACATGTGAGTTTTTGCTAATGTGAAAGTTTGTTATGACTATACGTGAAGCTAAAAAAAAAACTGTCATCACCCTAATAGAATAAAAAGAGGTTCCTATCACCTGGTTGGCTTCTTCTTAGATTGGGGCTTTCATAGCCAATGTAACCTCAGGAAAGACTATAAAAAGTTTAATTGCATAACATGAAAATTTTTTGTTGGTGATCAATTTGAATTTGCAATCTTCTTAAACAAAAATCTAGTTCACATTTAAAAATATTGAAAATGTAAATTTATTCTTTTAGCAGCAACACTAGTTATCCTATGTTTTGTTGATTGAGTAACATACTATTGACATTTAGCATGCTTTTTCTAAAAGAGGTCCATATGTTTCTTATCTCTTCTAGTTAGTTAAATCTGGCTCAAAATTTCAAGTGGCTTTTTTTCCCAGTACAATTCAAGTTGCTTTGAAAACTCATTCTGTTATCCACAGTAGGTTATTTGTGTTTGTGACAGTCCTTTAACAGGATTCCTTAGTCAGCTGCTGATGTTTTTGTTAAATTTGAATAGCCTGGATATCATTTTCACAAATATCAGCTGGTCATAGGCTGGAATGCAGATTATTAAATAATACAGTTTTTATTACCCTTTTTTTGTGAATTATTAAAGGCAGAGCAGTTTTCTCCCTTGTTCTATACATAACAGGTATAACAACTTTTCAAAATGGTCGGGCAATCCTTTCACCTGTTAAATTTTCAGAGATCCTAAGCAATTTTAGACAGTAATTAAAGGTACTACAGGAAGTAAAGGTTGTAAAGGAGAACACTTGTCTGATAGAGTTGGTGTATACTCTATTCACACTTTGTTTCTTCTGTCCTCAGCAATTCTCCTGATGGCATGATTACAATTACAAAGGGGCATGAACTTGCAGAGAGATTGGGTACCTGTTACTGTGAAAGCAGTGCAGACACGGGAGACGGTGTGCACAATGTGATCCATACAGCAGTGGGTTTGGCCATTCAGAACCAAAATCCCCCAAAGATCAAGTTGAATTTTAAAGTTTTCCAGTGGAGGGGAAAGACACCAAAAGTCTTACGACATGGGCCAGAACCACCTGTGTTATCTCCACCAGGTCTGTAGAAAAACAGCAGCATTACTCTTTTTTATTAATTTTATAACCCCTTCCACTCTTAAAAAAAGGCCAAAAAGTAATGTCTCCTTATCATATTGATACATTGTAAGGAGAATGAGATGATGAACAGAAAGAGAATATCAGGCAGGAGAGATTATTGGATTTACAATGTAACTTCAAATTCTCAGACCTAAAATTGCAAGATATGCAGGACTGAGAATTGACATTTGAATGGACAATACGAGTGAAATGGTTTACTCAATGTTGAGATTAAGATTCTCGTCATTTGAACAAAGGACATGTACCTTTTTCTTTTGTTTATTATTTTGCAATTTATCAAGTGCTGCATCCATGACTCTTGTTTCCTTATCCACCACTTTAGAAGTGTGTCATAATGTCCCTCTACTTTAATGTTGAAGATTGTATTAATAGCTTCCACGCATAGTTTTATTGACTGCATCCAACATCCTTAACCCCATTCAATGCCAAATCATCTTTTTATTTACTTGTTTACCTGTTTTTGAGCGACATAAGTTGCAACTTCTCTGTACTGGTTTGCAAGGGATGTTAAAGGACTCAGGCACACACATCTCAAAAAGAGAAGGGAATCTAGCTCCTGCTGTTGTGGTCTAGCCTTGTTATTTTTTATACATGACCCCATTTAAACCAGCTTTAAAGCTGAACTGGGCAAGCATGTCTAATTAATGCAATTAAATAAATAGATTGTGAGGCACTTTTTGTGCTCTGTTGTCTGTTTGATTAATTAGGCTTTTGAAATAATCAACTTTTCTTTTCATCACAAACTAGATCCAATGCCACAAGTGAAAGTTCTTCCTTCCACATTCACTGATGATATGAAGAAGATGTACAGAGATGAATCAGGGAATTCAGATATCAAACTCCTGTTCAATTCAAACAATCACCCACTTGGTGCACATAAAATTATCCTCAGTGTAGGTTCTACAGTCTTCCGCGATTTCTTTTTGAACAATGGTGAAGAAGTTGAACTGAGTAGATTGCTTAGTAATACTGATTCCTGTTCATGTCTTACTGCCAAGGAAAGCAGGCCAAACACCGGAAAAAAGAGCAGTGCAAAAGACTTGCTTCACTTGTCTACAAACCTTCCCAATTCAGTTTCAAATCACCAAAGCTTGTCTCCTTCACCAAACTTGGAGAGAAAGTCTAAAACAGGAAGACCAAAGAATTGCTTACATTTCAATAACAGTGTTTCAGGCAGAGCTTTTCAGCATGTTCTAGAGTTTCTCTATACAGGTTCACCAAACATTTCTTCTGATACTGATGAGGCACTGTTAACCAAAGTCATGAGTCTATCTCACAGGTTGCATATTCCTTGGCTGGGGCAAATCTGTGAGAATATAACAAATGGGGAGAGCTACCTTATTCCAAGCATGGTCGCTATTCTTCATGAGGAAAGAAGCAAAATTGTAAAGGAGAACTTTGTCAACAAGCCACACTTTTCTGATGTCATTTTTCATGTGAAGAATACCATATTTTATGCTCACAGAGCTGTGTTGATGGCAAGGTCTGAGGTCATGGCAGCCATGTTTGGTGGTGGGTTCAGTGAACGTGATAGCCTTGAGGTATGCCTGATTTGAAATGTTTTGCCCATATTTTCATTTTAATCTTATATAATGATCTTCTTTAAAGTTAACACTTTAAATCCCAAGATCTGATTGATAATTCTCCCCTCTAGCTGCTTCAAATTTCCATGTAAACTTGTTACAAGAATTTTGTGTAAGATCAAGATAGCAACTTCTAACTAATAACTTTGATTATTCTCATTACCTGTTTGCTGAATTAGACAGGATATTACAGGAAGTAGCTGCATGTTAGTCCTTTGTGGGAGTTTAAGGGTTAAGACTTGGGGGCTTTTGATAAGGGCTTTTCTCTGTGGTTCAGAGGAGGTTCGATTCCTCATGGGGACTCAGAATTTTTTCTTTGTCCCATGTTCGTGATATGACAAAAAAGAAACAGCTTTCTTTAATGTTATGGTTGCTTGAAGCCTAATCTAGCAATTTGTGGGGAAAAAAAAAGACAGTAGCCAAGTAGATTTTGTGAACTTATTTCTGCAGACCATACTTCCTTAGATGAGGGCCTTCTCCCAAATAAGTGCCTACAAACTAGGGCCACTGTTGAATAATCTCCTCCCCCCTCTTCCCTAACTTTCTTAGATAGTAGGGATATAAGGAAAAACTGTTTCTATTTTCCACTCTATAACTTTTTAAGTTTTAACTACTGTGAAATAAGTACAGGAGAATAATAGGTGCCCCCATGTTGAAGCACCCTCCTTGCAATAAGCACCCCTCAGTGATGCCAAAATTTTTAATAGGCACCTGGGTTGTTCATTCAAGTAAATACTACTAGTACATCAATTTTTACACCAAGTTATTCATTTGTGGTTTTTGCTACAACAGGTGACCATCAAGGTAACAACAGGGAAGAGTTTCATGGCGCTACTGGTGCACTTGTACACTGATACATTACCTACTGACATGTCTGTTGGTGACTTCAGGGAACTTCTGGTGCTTGCTGACAGGTTTTGCCTGTCGCAGCTTATTTCAGTCTGTGAAAATGCTATTATAGATAGAATTGGGGTGGAGATTAAGAAGAAACGAATGACATCTGCAAAGTGTAACGACATCATTAACTTGCTTCTCACTGGACAGGTAGGCTTTCCTTTTGAATTACATTTTTTTGTCTGTAATAGTGTCAGTGACCTTTGATCTAACTTTGAAAAGTGATTATTAATGAATTGAAGGATGATTTTTTAATGAATGATTGAATAAGTTGCTGCTCACATCAACCACTACTCCAAGTTGTGACTGTTTTGGTCATCCAGGTAATTAGAAGAAATCTTAGTCATCAAAGGGGTTGATTTGGCAACTCATGTCAGACTTCATGTAGTAATAAGTTTTAAAGTTTTTACAACTTCATTTTCATCGTCTGGAGTTGAAGTGAACATTGTCAACATTGTCATAGAGTTTTGCTCACATTCCCTCTTTTTCTTCTATTAACAATTTGCCTCTTTCTCCATGGTTACCCAGACTTTTCATCCAAAGCCCAGCAGGTCTACTGCTGAGCCCTGGCATCACCCATATATTTGTAAGTGGCTATGATTAATCCACATTTCCTTTGCTTCGTTAGGCTCATAATGCTCCTCAGTTGGCAAGGTGGTGCTTGTACGTGATCACAACAAACTACCCCGACTTTGAAGCCTGTGATGATTTTGATCTCATTAAGGGTGACAATCGAAGGCACATCCTGGAACATCGCTGGCCACCGCTCTCCTATCTGAAAGAATTGGAAGAGTTCAAGAGGAAGACTGGGAGAACATAAAATATTGAATAGAACATACGAATAACTAATTGATACTGAGATAAGTGATGTCAACCATTTAACTCCCAAGATCCATTGAGAAATTCTTCCCTCCAACTTTATTACATTTCCTTTTAATTTAAATATGGGAATTTGGTGTCATATCAAGATAAACCTTGTGGCTGATATGCTTTACTATTCTCATAAGCTGTTCACAAAATAATGATTTGAAGTCATTAGAAGTTACATGTTTATAACATACTGAATTCTGAATTTAATAGGCTCCTATGAATGTAATTCAGATATTAATTTTTTAACAGATTCAAACATAACAGTCAACTAGGATACAATGTAGTCATGTTATCTCAGTCAGTTCTAGGAAATCCAACCTTGAGGTAGCTTTCCAAGTATGAGATTGTACTAGTATTGGTATACAAGTGCAACATTGCCATGGATGTTTCGAAACCTTAATTTCTGAAAAAGTCGTCGTGCAACCAAAGATTTGTGCTAAAGGACTATTTTGCTAGGAGTTGGGCCAACTGTTCATATAGTTGACATGTTGATCATTAGATGAGTCTCTAGCAGAGGACAGTTTAAAGAATTATTATTGAGTGATAGTTTTGTTAGGTTCTCAGCAGAGAAGTTCACTCAAATTAATTATTTGCTTCATGTATAGTGAGTAGCCATTCCAATGAAATCAGTTTTTACAGTAGGAGTACCATTCATTCACGATCAACTGAGGTTTCCTTTTGCATTTGTGACTGCAGTGTCCCATGTATGTTGCTGTATTTCTGACAGAAACAAAGGTAATGAAAATGTCTATTTAATATTTAAACTTGGTTGCTCACAAAAGAGAAAGAATTTTAATGCAGTTTTGTGGCAGAGAGAGGGCTCAAATATGTAAAGTGTACTTCCAATTATTGTAAATAAGAATTCTATTTGAATAGGCATTTTTGTGAGTTTACTTAAAATATATTGAATTTTATGTTCAGTTTGTAGATGTGAAGCAATAAGAGATGTAGGTAGAATCCTACACAAGAATGACAATGTAGCAGCTTGCGTCAAGCCATATCATAGGTTTTGTTTTCTAAATCTTTTTATCATAGGTTTTTTTTTCCTTCAACATCTTTATACAATAACTGTTGATAGGGTTTATTTCATTTATCAGTGCAACAAAAGGCTGATCTTGTTACAGAGTTTGGTCATGACTAATTTAAATTGATTGTCAATTGAGTGGAAATGCAACCAGGCTTTTTGATTGGTTGAAGAAAGACTAGTTGTACAGTCAAACCTCATAATCACTCTTTTTCAATGCAAGACTAGTCAGAATGACTTTTCTTATTCAACTGGGCTCTAAAAGCCTTGTCCCATTTTGCAGATGGGAATTTTCTCAATTGTTTACAGAACTTCAAAGGCTTACATAAACAACATTTTCCTTGTTACAAGGTCAATGTGCATGCACAATTTACCAAGTGTATACCAATTTACAGTAAGAAATGTTGTCACTTAGAAGAGACTTTACAAATAGCTATGATTAACAGTTTTCAATTCCACTGAATAGAATGTAAAATTCTATTCTCTTAGATTCTTACAAGAGAGGATAAATCCCTCCTTGATTCTTACAAGTAAATAAACTGTAAATCTAGGCTCTGTTAAACAGTGCGTCTTGATAGTTTAAACAAGAAAACTAATTGAGTTCAACTGAACATATGATACTAAATGTAAATTAAAGTTAAATTTGAGTTGCTTGCCCTGACCAAACTGTATGACTGTTAGAGTGGACTTATGATTAAAAAGTATATTAATGAAAGTATTATTTAATTTGATTATACCCTGACAACAAAGGTTGCCAATATTTAAAAACATTTACTATAAGATAGTTTGAATACATTCATGAGACTTTCATATAAAATTCTGTATATTAAAAATAAGAAGAATAAAGCTGAACTGAAAAAGTGATACATAGCTTGGAGCTGAATCTGTTAGTGTGCTGTGGAGGCATCTGAGTGACTGGTTTTTGGGGAATTTGCACAAGATCTGAAGAGCCCAAAACGAGCAGGGCAAAGAGGAAGCAAGCTTGCTGCATGAAGTTGCAACTTGGTGGTACTTTTTAACTTGGCATGAAAAGGAGCAGAGGAAGTAAGCATTGGTAGGTTTGGGGAGCACACCTCTTCGTCCACCCTGCTAGAAACTAACCCCAATCTTCCAAACTCCCCTTCCCCCTCAATAACCTCAATAAATTAAGGCTAAATTTTAGCCTTAAGTGCAAAACAAGGTGGAGATCCCAAACGTACCAAGATCTCAGAAAAATTAACCTGTTCACAAACCTGCTGTGATTTTGGTTATGAGGCATGACAAATTCCCCAGCATATCTGAATCCCTTTTGATGGGTTGTATCCACCTGTGAATGTGTGGCAATTGTAGAATACTCTATTTGTTGCAGATGTATGCAACTGGTAAGTGATTCAAAAATACTCCTTTACATTTTACCAAATACAGACAAATTCATCACACTACACAATAATGTTCCTGGCTGTGACCTTTTATTTAGCATTTGTTTCCATTACTGGCACACAAAATAAAATAATGCATAATAATCTTGTCTCTACGAAATAACTATTAATGAACTATTCTAACAGTATTACTTGTACAAATATGAATAACTGTACAGTCTCTTGATACATTTGGGGTTTCTGGTATCACTGCCATGGTTCTATTTTGCATTAATAAAAATAAGAAAGCAGGAAAAGTAATACCTCTGATATCCTTGATTTATAATCATGGTAATAAGACTGAGTCAAGTCCAATTTGGTCTGTAATCATATGAGTTACTAACAAAATCAGACAACTGTGAAGCAGGAGTCTGATTTGTGAATCACAATTTATGGTTATAATTAAATGCAAAACTATAATACACATACAAGTAACTCAGATGATTTAAATTACAATGCATTCACATCTTCACTCAAAAAGGTTTTCCATATACATAGCTCAAAATGTAGAATTATTTGTACCAATTACTTGGCTATGTACAGCCCAGTCACACTCTCCTTGAGAAAACTCATTACATTTCTCATTTACAACAAACCTTCCTTCCCTTAACTCTTGTCTCAAAGCCACAAAAATGATGCAATTTTGTAATTCAAGAAATTATTGATAATTTTGCACAAGCAGTTTTGGATCTGTATCCCTTTCACAGTAGATTGTTGCCATAGAGGTGAATGCCTTTTGATCATCTAAATACTTTATATTTATGGTACAAAAAACAAAAAAAAAAGCTCATAAATTCAAAGTATGGTTCTTGAATCCCTAAGTGCTGTCAATAATTACAGTGTATGTCTAATGTCAGTGCTAACAGCTAAAGTATGTTAAAATACAATGATTGTGGTTTCTTCAATGAAATATTGTAATGTGGCAAAACTACAATTTTGGGAGCGAATTCAAGGTAACTGAAGTGAGGAGTAATAACAAAATTTTTCCCTCTGTAGACTTTTGCAAACAACCAATGGCCTCAGAATTAGAAACTGATCTTAAAGTAAAGAAATGTAAAATGGTTTCCGTGTTTACATAGCCTGATGTAAACACGCGGGAGGTTGGGAGAACACAAGATAAGCGTAGGAAACCATGACGCGAAGCTAATGAAGCTATGAAAGAGGAATGAAAACCGTGTTTACATATGCTCATGTAAAATGGTTTTATGACCAATCAGAGCGCACGTACTATTTGAATTATTTTATAATTTTATATATTAGCCACCATCTCGTTTCTCTATCATTGTATTTTTAACAACCCTAATAAACAGTGCTTTTTAAACATAATGATGACAGGACTGGTGAATAGAACATTATCACCATCATACTCATAACTGAACCTTCTTCACTTGAAGTAAATTATCAATTAAATTCTTTTAGTGAAATTTGCCGGGAAAACACCCTTAATTCCGCTCAGCTCTAGGATACCAAGGAGCCAGCCCTCATCCTGTGGGAGGAAACAGATACAAAACACCATATTAGTTGAATAGATAAATAGAAAGGTGATAAGTTTAAAAACATTTTGAGTTTTGTTTTCATAAACTGTTTTTATACACAGGATCAAGTTTAACATGTGACTATATGAGAGTATTCCATACAACAAATCCTACAGAACAGAACACCTCATTTGCTTGACAGAGAACGGGGTGGGATGAGGTGGTAGTAAACTGTTGGTATGTTCTTTATTTGGATGCTCAGTTAAAAGGTCCATACTTGAGCTTTCAAATTATTAACAAAAAAAAAACACCATTTTCATGGAAATAGTGTAAATTTTGTCTGTCTGTGTGAACAGTATTCCACACTTAAGTGATGGTAAATAAAGGATAAGAAACAAAACCAACAAAAAAAGTTGATAATCACCTGTTCCTCTGGATCCTCAAACTCGACAACATTTATGATCTCTCCTTTCTCAAATGACAACTCATCATCATCTTCAGCAGCATATCTGTACGCAGCTCGAACCTAGACATTCCAATAACAATTTACAATCAGTAACTCAGCCTAATTTTATGGCGTGCAAACATAGAGTGACATCTCTGTGGCTGAGCTGGAAAAGCAGAAGTTAAGTTCTTGGAATTCTGGAAGTGTAAATAGAGCCTGTGGTACCAAACCATGAGATGGGCTTTTAAAGGTTTTCCTCTCTCAGATTTCTTCTGTTAGTGGCAATTTTCAATAATTTATTGTATACCCCTACAAAGGGCACATTATTTTTGCAAAGAGGGTGCCTAAGATGTAAGTTAAGGGCTGAAGCCACCGCATTGGAAGATTTTACTTTGTTCTGTTACACAGTCTGTACTTTCCTAAATATCACTAATCATTTGATCTTAGGTAGGAACTTTTCCTTTTTACCTTGTAAAGAAATCCAGGAATTTCAGGTCCTCTTCCTTCAGGTGGCTGCTGCTGTGCCTGTGACTGTGGCTGTGGCTGAACAGGTTCTGTCTGTGAGGCTGAGACAGGTGCAGCCTCTTCATTTGAGGGTGATCCCTTTTTTGAAGTAAAATTGTCAAATTACCAACACAGCAATAATGATGACATCTGCAAACTGGTTGAGGAGGCCAAATACCCCAAATATTCAAAGTAAAAAATCTGTCAAGCAACCAGGTCAAAACAAGTCAACAGCATGAAAAGCAGAAGTCTCAGGTGACTAAGTTGTGATTGGTGTCCATTTTGAATCTGATTGGCTGAGAAAATGGCAGAAGTCCTCTGGACCGACCACAAAGTACTTCCCACGTTTTGGATATTCAAATGGAAATTGCTCTTAATTAACCTTGTTCTTGACAACTTTTTCCAAGTAATTAAACTGTCCCAATACAGACCTCTGTGCTTTCAGCTTCTGATTGTGAAGGCCTTTTTAATGGTAAAGATGGCACAGACGGTTTCTCTGGTGCTTTCTTTTCTGCATTTTCCAACTGTGATTGTGGGGGTAGTTGTCTGGCAGCTGGCTTGGGTTTCTGTTGATTATCTGCTTGTGTCACAGTCTCCCCACTCCCATCCTGTTCATCATGGTCAGACTGCATGAAGGGGTTTAGGGCTGGAAAATGAATGCCAGCTTATTTTAAAAGTGACATTAATTTGAGTGTTTAGTACACAAAATAGCTAGAAACAGGTATAAGTCCAGCATGTAACACAGTCTAGCTGTCTAAGGTGCCCTACCTTCCCCAGGCACCTTTAGTAAGTATTTAAAACAGACATCTCTGGAGGTAGAAAATTCCAAAGTAATAGACATTTGTGTAAGGAAAACTCATACACTGTATCTGAGGAAAAAAATGCGATGTTCAACTTTCTGAAGAAAACAAATTTAGATGTAACATTGCCCCTTTCTTATTGTTGCAACTATTTAGGAATTGACAGTTTACAATTAATAGTGGACAACTATTTGAATAATCTAATAATAATTTACCTAATAGCACAGAGGGAAAATAAAGTCCTTTCAAGATAACTGTAGACTGCAAACTTAACCCTTTCACTCACAGGATCTCATTAGTAATTCTTCCTCTTGTCTGCCATAAATACTTATGATTTCAATTTCAAGAATTTGGTATTGGATCAACTTGTAGTCCCCTAATTGAGATTTCTTCTTTATTCTCCTCACTTATCTGCTTGATTCTGCGTTGATATTGTCAGGAGAAATTCTGTCTTGGTCACTCATAGGAGTTAAAGAGTTAAAGATAACTGTTTGGGATGAAGCCTTCAGGATATATCTTTAGGTAATTAGGGTTACTCTAACTATAGAAATTGTTATTTCTGAGGCAAGAATCCTATCATATTAAGTATGAATTCTGTGAGACAATCACTCACACAGAGCTACTGGTATTCCTTTAATTACTTCTGGTAGCAAAAGTTAAGCATCTTTGAAGAACTTGCTTGTGAGAAATTGCTTGCAAAAATGTATAGCATTCAAAATAGGGTCAAGAGTGAATAAAATTCACTGATCATTATGTTCACTAAAAATTTAAAATAATACCATCGACTCCATCTACTGCTTTTTCAGCTTGATTGACTGTTCCATCTGAAAGAAAACAAAACTTGTTTGTTTTCATTGTTTTGACTGTGATCTATTTCTTCCTTGTGAATTTTGAAAGCAATGATAAAATATCTGTAATGAAGCAAGAGGTATTCATTTCTATAATTAACAATGAAAGCTATTTGGAGTGATGAATTTAATATCCTATTTTGTAAGGTGATCCATTGTTAAACTAGACATTGGACATTATTCTTACCATCACTGGTTTCCACAGGGTTAGCTTCGTCAATGCAGGCTACTGCATCCCCACTCTCTGCATGTGATGAGGTTGTTTGAGTGTCCATTTCATCACTGTCTGAGACTTGGTTCTCGCTTGAAAATTCAAAAGGTATTCAGTCAAAATTAATCATTATACTCTTTAAGACAAAATCTGTCTTAGTTTGGTATTAAGGGTTTGGTGGTGCACAGATTTCATCATAGAATATAAGGATAATGAGTAAAAAGCTCACATCAGAAAGGAAAATATTCTTTGTTCATACAATAGGAAAGATGATAAGTTTTAAACTTGATAAAGAAATAGAGAAAGACGTTTTTTGTCTTGTCACAAGTGTGGGACAAAGAAAAATAATTGAACCTCAGACCTTTGGATTGCACACTCCAATGCTCTACCACTAAGCCACAGTGACTCTAAGGTTAGCAAGGCCCACACTATAGACATCGCTGATCCTGATATCCATTGCCGACAGTGTGCACGACGCATGTCATGTATGAACTTTGTAATGGGCCTCACTCACCATCGAGTCTCTGTGGCTCAGTGGTAGAGCATTGCAGTGCAGAATCCAAAGGTCTGAGGTTCGATTCCCCATGGGAACTCAGAATTTTTTCTTTGTCCCATGTTTGTGATAAGACCAAAAACATCTTTCTCTCAAATATTCTTCTACACTTGGATTAAAAAAGCAAAGGAGTTTACAAAGAAAACATTACAAACCTAGCCACGGGATAAGGTCTCTTAGTAGTGTATGTTCCAGTTGCCATGTCATGAATTAAACCATCCATTAGATCATTCATCTGAGTTTTTGTCTGAAATTGTATGTAATGATTAGTTTGTAAAGATGGACAAACACTTTCTCAGTTGATAATGAACTTTATGCTGTAGATGCAGTGGGGTTGGTGATAGCATGCTGGTCTCAGGATAAATTGGATAGAGGGGGGGGGGGTAAGCTTCTAAAGAAACTATGGTGCTGTGTCAGTGGGGGAGTGTAACAGGGTAAGTTAGTATTATCAACTGAGTTGATAAAGTAAATTGGCCACCGTAAAGAGTTGCAAAGCTGACATTTCAAGCATTAACCCTTAGTTGGAGCAAAGTTTACCAGTAACTGACTAAGGGCTAATGCTCGAAATGTCAGCTTTGAGACTCAGTTAATAGAACCAAATTACTCAGGTTAAATTGGTTCAGGTTTAAGCCATAGCCAGGTCATTAACAACAGAGTTGTGTTCTTGGGCAAGCTTGCCTTTTTCTACTCAAGAGGTAAACAGTCACCGGTGAATTTTTGGGGGAAACTTCAACCACAAATTCTTGAGGAAGTCATTATCTACACTAATGCCCACTAATTCCTTTCCAGAAGAGGCAAAATCCCTTGAGTTATTTCATGCTGAAGAACCTTGGATTGATGAAGGGGCTGTTATGATTAAAATTTTTTCTTTTGGTTTCATTTTTTTTTAACCGATTTAAATTTTTCAAGCTAGCTTAAAATTTCCAGACTTAGCATTACTTGTAGATTGAGTTCACCTTTGTTTTAGGTATTTTCCTGAGGGTTTCCTTTAAATTATTCTGAGTTCTTCCCTTCGCAGAACCCAACACTCCAAAGCAAAGTGTTAAGACAAAGACTTGCTCCCAACATGTTTTCTTTTTAGTTGCAAAAATTACCTTTGCAGCTTCTCTATGGAATACTCCTTCAGCGGTGAAAATACTTTGGAATGAGGACACATAAAAACCAATACGACTGAAAATAAAGGAAATGTCACATGACTGAGTTATTTTTCACTTTTATAGTCAGGTTAACCTTTTAACCCACATGACTGACTAGGGCAGAATTTTTCCATGGAATATCAATTAATACAATATCAAGTATGCAAGTGATGAGAATAGAGAAAAATATCAGTCAAGGGATTATTAGTTGATCCAATACCCAATTCTCTGAACTAACAGCACAGGAACTGTATGGCAGACAGTAAGGGGAATTGCTAATGAGATCTTGAAAGTGAAAGGGTTAATCAGGTTAAAAAAAAAAGGATAACTAACATCTATGAATATTCCAAACCTCTATTGAGAAATTTTATCAAAAGTTGTCGATGATTAAAAATAACTCAAATGACTTCTTTTTTACCTGTCAAATAAAGCAGGTAATTCTTCATATAATTCTGCATGAAGTTTTGTATAAACAGATTTTGCTTCATTGTATTCTTCCTCTGCCTGAATTCGAAAAAAAATGAAAATAATTTCATCAGTTCCTAGGAGTATAGCGGCCACTGTCAAGAGTTTCTAGAGCTGATGCTTCAAGTTTTAGCCTTTCATCATTCACTCTGACAAAGGCTTAAACCATGAAACAAGATCTGATTAGCTGGTGAAAGACAAAGAGTAAGGAATAAAATTTATCAACTGAGGTGATAATGTAAATTGGCCACCATCAAGAGTTTTTTAAAGCTGATGTTTTGAGTGTTAGCCCTTTGTCATTTAGTCTGACAAAGATCTAGTGCTTGAAACAATAATAATAATTATAATAATATTTATTGATTTGTATTGCACAAATATCAATCCAGGAAAAGAAATTTTCATCTGCCCATTACATTGACTCAGCAAAATTCTAAAATCCTGGTAAATTATTATTCCAATTCAAAAAAATTATAAAAAACAACATTTAATAAATCATTAAAGTCCTATTTACATATCGTACCTAATAATTTGTTAGAAAATAATAAGTCTTAAATTCTAAAAACAATGACTAGTGATTCTAAAATCCTATTTAAAAATAATTCTTTATAAAACAATAAAAATAATGAATTAGCTAGGAAACACCTTCTGAAATAAATGAGTTTTAGGAGCCTTTTAAGGACATAAAAAAAAAAAAAACATTAAAAAAAACATAAATTTAAAGCATTTAAAAAAACCAAGAAACATTGGCCGATTACTGGTGAAAGAGGAAAAGAAAGCTCCGGAGTAACAGTGAGATGATCACCTGAGCAAGCTTCTTTTGATCAGCTGCCTTTCCTTTGGATTTTAGTGTCTACAAAAGAAACCAAAGTTTAGTTTAAGGCAAGGTAGATCAGCATTGTTGCTTCTTCTCTGAAGTAAAACAGTCTGGGCTATGGTGAAAAAAGGAGTGCAGAGTGATGTTTTTTTTTTTTACAGAAGACAGCAAAGGACCCAGAACTTAACATTTCTCTGAACAGGCACAATCACAGAGCTTTTTGCCTGAAGTGTTACGGCAACTGAAATTAGTCAAAATGCCTAAAGAAACACTGTCCAATTGATAAGTTGATGTCAAATCACTCCAGAAAGGGTTACATGTACATTCTCTTTCCAGTGACACCCTTCATGCTCTAAAAACATTCGAGCATAAGTTCTTGAACATCATGCCTGAAAAACTTTGACTGAAAATGAGTGAGAGTCATAGAGACCAGGGATGGTAACCATAGCTTACTGGTAATAGTTTCAACTTATGAATACACAATTCTTTTGACCAGGCTGATCAAAAATAACACCAGTTGACCAAAAGTCACCATTGTAATGAAATCACCCTAAAAAATTTAAGACCTTCCATCATAATTGTTTTAACTGATCAGCAAAATGTTTTTTTCAGTACGTCACAACATCATCTACAAATATTCACCTCGAGATTGTGTCTGTATCGATCATAGTCAACAAGTTTTCTACCTCGTTTATTTATTCTGGCCTGGAAAGGATAAAACAAATAAATACGTCTTTCCAGAACAAACATGTTGACAAGTCAGTCGTATCTTTAAACTAAGAAATCAAACTACAAATTTTGTCTTACATCTTGAATGCCATCTAGGCAAACAACAATATATGTCTTGCTGAAGTCAAAGCATCTTTGCCTAACCTCTTATTCAACAACTATGGTACTAAATATGAGAATGGAAGGTAAATCAAGGAGAATGAAAACTTACAAATAAACTGACAATAGAGAAAAAGATTTACCATTTTTAACAGAGCATATCTTAAGAGGCATTTAAAAAAACAATAAAACTGCTGCTAAAAAGTGGACACAGACAAGACTACATTTTATACACAAGACATTACAAATTTCTCAACATAAATTGTCTTACATTATGCAGTGATATAAACACATCAATAACAAGTACATAATACATTTAATGGAACATGAACACTCACAGCTAGTTAAGATGTAAAGCCAATACACATGTGAAATGGTATAACAAGAAGTGTTTTTGTAATAATTTTATAAATCTTGTGCAAACATTGGCTATAGATACCTTTATATCAGGAAATTGGCTCTGGTATGCTGTCAGAGGAATAATAACTTCATCATCCATTTTTTCTACTAAATCAGACCACTGGCTGTGTAATTCCTGATTAAAGTATGTAGGGGAAAAATACAGTTACTTATACTCTGGTGCTGAAGATAATGGTACAAGTCCCTGGCATTTCTAAGAGACAGCCAGAAATATTAATAGCAATTTACAATTATGCTTGCTAATAAAGATCCTCAGGAGGTCTTCAATATATGGACTTCCATGTAGGTATCTCGGTATAAACTTAAACCCACACAGTGCACTTTCATTGTTTTAGAAAAATGGTAGTTAATTGCAAATGCTGACAAAAAATTTAAACTTCACAATGAAGCTGCTCCAACTAAAAATTATTTAACTACTGATGTATATAAGTCTTAATTTGTGTAACTGCCATGCTACACTAACTATCTTGAATTGAATTAAGCATCTTATTGGGACCCAGCTTTCAGGATGGTAAATATACTCTTGCATAAAATAAGAACAAAATTCAACAATTCTAATCACAAACCTCTATAAGTTGAATGAGTTTATCTCTTCCTGGCCAATCAGGTTCATACACTTCTCTCACTGCATCTGCAAATGCATCACTAGATACTAACATTGCTGTAAGAAAAGATCAAACAAGTCTAAGTCAGACATCTGTCTTTATTCTGAAATAAAAACCTATAAGCCTAAGGCTCTCTGATGTGCAAAGTTGTATGAAGAGTCAGTTTTCCATCATCTCACCTCTAATACACGAATAATAATTTTTCAATTCTTTATGTAACCTTTGAGCTGCACTCTAAAAAGTAAACAGAGCAGCAGTTAATGAGAATTTGTTTAACAATAAAGAACTTCTTTAATGGATGATCATTTCCTTTCATTCTCAAGACCTTCATGTTTGATTAAGGTGTAACTTAATATAAGGAGAAATTAAATGCTAGTCATTCTTAGTAGTCAAAGGGATAATTATGAAGTTTAAGAAGGGCTTGGCATCTTTAGGGCCTTCCAGTGGCAAAATGAAAGGTAAAATTTTTAAAGTTTTGCAGCCAATAATTAAAAAAACCCAACAAATTGACGGGCCAAATTACCTGGCCCAATTTGTGACATATGTCCTCCTCTCAGTGTATATGTTTATCTATAATTTTTTGGACACAATTCATTAATTACTAGCTGTTCAATCCCAATATATCATATTTGGAGCAGCAGATGATGACAAATAACATATTTGTTATTGTCACAGTTTAACTCAAGTAGAAGAAATTACTACCAGGAAAGATAAACCACAAAAAGATTTTAGTATTAGATAAGTCTTACACCTAAGGTTCAATTGGTATCTGGGAGGTAAAGTGAAAACTCCATAATGATTGAAATTTTGATTTTCTCCAGGATTTAATTTTTCTGCAATTTATTCTGAAGCAGTTTTTTGGATATGATCAATTCATCATTTATCACTTTCTTTTCCATTTAAGCACAGGTATAAGAAGGTGAAAAGAAAGAAAGCCCTCATTCATTTTTAATTGAGATATGTAAAAAATTTGCATGACTGAAATAGTGCAAGCTGATCATATGGTTACCATAATAAAATGACTAAGTTGTAGTCCTAATAATTAATTGAAAAAACCTGCTTTCAACTGTACTGATTAAAATCAAGACATCTGTCCCAAAAAGCTGGGCTATTAATTGATGATGCCTTTTTTATCAAATTCATAATTATGTAGTTCAAAAGGTTAGTGTCGTGTACATCAGCTCAGAGCTGAACGAGATTTGCGTGTTCATGTCGATTGTTCAATTCTGAAATTGTATCATTGAACAGAGTGTAGATCAAACAGTAGGTAAATCCCTCTTAGTTCTTCTCTATCCTTTTCGATCACACTTAGATAAAGTTCAGAAGATTACAATATACATTGTACATAAAGGAAAAAGGTGATCGGAAGTCACTTGTTTGAGTCTTTTGCTTAGATTTCCAAAATTCATCAAAACAAATTCCATCATTATCACATCGCATTGCACTGTAATTAAATCATGTATGAGGGAAAAACGCAACCGAAGGCAAAGTTCTGTACTAAGAATACGCACGCATATAGAAGATGGTATTTTTTGACATCTGCATGCGATCGTTATAGACTGACAATATTTTTAAAGAGTCCGTCAAGGCCCTATTACCTGTTGTTTATTGAAGTTGTTTACGAACTCATCAAATGTAAGATCCTTTGTCTCATTTGCTTTCCCGAGCTTTTGCATCACCTAGAAATACCAGAAACACTCTTTAGCATGGAAGTAACTTACGACGCGATAACTTCCGATTTGCCAAACCACCTCCCTTTGGCATCCTCTTGGTATAACTACATTATCACCCGAAACTTCTCAGAAGTTAGCAGAAAGATGGATAAAATAAAATTCTTTTAACTCGCCTTTTCTTGAGCACGCTTGGCTCTTTTTGTGGTAATGCTCGCCGTACGAGAAAAAAAGCTTTTTTCGGAACTTTTGTCGGGTTTATCCGCCATCTTGGTTCTAACCTATCACCGCTGACACGCGAGTACGCATGCGCTGGGCGAAACATCACAAGATGGCGGATTTTATGGAAGAGGAGAAAAAAGTGCAATATTTTCCAGAAGGAAGTCTGTTAAATACAATGATCATATCGATTATTGACTCAGAGAAACGTTTCACTGATATTTTGAAGGAACCGTACACTGTTTACCTCATAGAGACTAAGTGAGTCCATCGCTTTTTTCAGTTTTTACACAGATGGGTATTTTGTTATTACGCGTCATAAGATTTTGATCGCTTACCAGTTCGTGTCACCTTTGTAAGATGCGACACTAGAGTCGATGTACTATTATTTAAATTGATCAGCTTCAGGAGTATCGCGGTATTTTTACTTAATTTTTAGTCGATCTGAACTGCGACGCATCTTTTCGATTGCCCCCCTGTGACAAACATGAGATCTGGTCCTCACAGACTCTCTTGTCTCATCGTGCTGATAAAGTTCACCTTAGTTTAAGATTTAGAAGCGTTTTCTGCTCGGTCAGATTCGGTAACAACCAAAATTTCTTTCTTGAGAGGGGCTTGGGGAAGGGGTGAAAGGTACTGAAGTACGTTTTGGGTTTGAGGACCATTTGACTATAATTTTATTCGAATTTAGGTCTTAAGCCTTGTTCAAACGGTCATGATAGATGATGATGGTCGAAAAGAGTTGCAAATTTTATTTCCTTTCATTGACTATAGTTTGCGTTTAAGTGGTTTGTGATTGTTGATGACAGTTGACAAAATCATGACATGAGATCTGGGTAATTGTAAACAAATATGGGCTGTGCTGAGATAAGCAATTTTGGTGGCATTTGAAATTTTAGTCAAAAAGGTGGAAGTTGAAGATACTGAAGCCTATCAGGAGACAATGAGATTGAACAATTGGGCTTTCTGCAAAATTTTACCATTTGCCATTTTGGTTTGAGCCCCTTTTTGGCAAAACTATTGACTGAAAAAGTATTACTTGCCATCATCCATTGTTCAAATGCAAAAACTGCCATCAACTATTATGTGGAATATGAACGTGTCCAAACTACACAATAGTTGATGATTGTAGATGATGGTCAATGACAGTGCACAATTATTTGTGTTCAAACATGTGTGATAGTTGAAACCATCTTTGTTGCAAATTTTTTTGGGGGTTCATGCAAGATTAAGAGTTTCTACAAGTCATTGGTTTCTTCCTTTAAAAGTACATCTACTGATAAAATTTGTTTGTGTTTTTTATTAGGTACATTGATGGGGGTCCTCCTGCTGGAGAGCCTGATATGTCATCCTCCATATGGAGAAGATACAGTGAATTTGAGCTGTTGAGAAATTATCTCATAGCAAACTTCCCTGCAGTGAGCAAACCCATTATGTTAACTTTGTTTTGATATCAGCTAATAGTTTTTGGTATATGTCTTTCATTGTATTTTCTCCAGCAAATGAATACATCACGAAACTCAGTTCACTTGAATTCAATTATCAAAAAAAAACTATTGATTTTTGTAGCTTTTGGTTGGATTGAAATGGTTTAAAAACTCCTTACTTAGAGTATGGTAGAGTAATTTCAATCATGCACAGTAGTGTGAAAACGAAAATGCAATCTACTTCCTTTGATCTGTAGTGTAAACGAGAGCCTGAATCTGCACCATTCGTGTGATTAATATGCATGTTTATAAAGTTTTAACAGAAATATCATTCCTTTCCAGTTGATTGTTCCCCCTTTGCCAGAAAAAAGGGTAAGTAAAGCAGGAGTTATAAGTTCACTCTTCTTATCCAGTGTATTCAACCCATTTTTTCCTCTGAGAGAGTGAACTTTTTCAATTATCTGTTTCTTTAGATCAACATTGCAGCCCTTCGTATTGCTGCAGATAAGTTTGATCCAGATTTTATTGAGAAGAGAAAGGTTGCACTCGAGGTAACAACTTATTTATATTGCTCAGCAGATAACTTTGACCCACAAGGAATTTAGTTTTCCCTTTGAATCATGTTTATTTTTGTTTTCCATGTTAAATATCATGGCTTGATTCTCAAAATTATAGAAAATAGTCCTTTTTGAAGATGAATGTGCTTAAAACGACAACCTTTGCAATTAAATCTTCTCCTTTGTATAAGCATTTGTTGTAATTGTGTTTGTACTCAAGACATGATTTGATGCTACTCTGGTTTAAAGGTTTAATGAATGTAACCGAGAAGTTACCATTCATAGATGCAATGTTTCAACACTCCTGTCTAGTGCCTTTATCAGGGGGTGATCTAATAGCTGCAGTAAGAGATCCCTTCGCATGCTCACTAATTAGCTGCCCTTTTTTTTGATGAGGTGTAAATAGGCGTCAGATAGTAAGCCACCATCATCAAGATTTAGAGGAGTGTGGGCGGAGTTGATATACCTGGCTTCCAAACAAAGGCACTGGTGGTAACATTGGTTAGTGGTGATAATTTTTGAATTATCACCCCTGATGAAAGCACTAGACAGGCATTTAAGAAAATAAACAATGCTTTTTAAAAACAAGTTTTGACAGTTCTTCTGTCATCTTCAGTTCTGGTTTTAAAAAGTACAAAGGTTAATTTAAAGTGTGTAACAAAATGCTGATTGAACAAACAACAGTAACAGAACAATGTATGTAATTACAAGGAAATTTTTTAATTAACATGATGAAGTTGATGATTAAGTGTAGGTTTCTCCCACTGAATGTGAATAGCTTCTTTAATTTTAAGTTGGAAAGTTGTGGAAGCATGATCTAAGATGCAAAAACACTCATCAGAACATAGAGTGGGACATTGTGGAGAATTATGTAAATGTTTGAAGGGTCTTTCACGCCAAACATATTATCTATTTGAAAAGATGAAAAATCCAACTTAATATCTATGTTGTTACAACAACGCTTAGCAAAGTGGTGAACCCTTTTTTGCACTTTTCAATAGACAGGAGTTTCAAAACATTGGGTCCATGAATTGAAACTTCTTGGTTACATTCGTTAAATCTTTAAACCAGAGTAGCATCAAACCATGTCTGATTGTCCACCTGGTTGCCTTGTGAACTTTAATATATGTGTTTGTACTGTTTGGTATTTCAGAGTTTTTTATTAAGATGTGGGGCTCATCCCCAACTTTCCCAGGACCTCTCATTTATTTCATTTTTCAATCAGGTAAGTTGATTTTAATCATAATACAGAGAAGAATAGCATCTTACCATAAATGTGCTAAATAAGTATTGTCAGTTGTAATACACAAAAACATGTTTGAGTATATTTGAACCAAGAAAGCATTTGAGTTTTAGTTAAAAAAAAAAAAATTGAAAAATTCCATTTATATGTGAAAACAATATGATCCTTAGTGTTAGTGTTTATTTTATAGGAAGAGGGATGGAAAGAAGCTCTGCTGGCAACAAATTTTCAGAGCAAGGTATGGACAGTAGTAGCAGGGAGTGATGTTTTGACAAGTGGAAGTCATCATCAGAGTCAAGTGGAGATATGTTTGTCAGTCAAGTGTTTTTTAGTGTAATTTGTGAAAACTGATTGGTCAGGTTTGCTGTGATTTTTTTTTTTATAGGTTGACTCAAGACTAAAGAGTTGGAGTGCTTCTCCTAAAGAACCAGACAGGTCAGATATCTTCTACTGATTACTAACTTTGATTGTTACTTTACCAGCCAGGGATGGTTTCTTTTGTATTTAAGATCACTGAAAATAGATTTTAAATTACTAAATATAAACCTGCGCACCCCCCTCCCCCTCCCCCCCAAAAAAAAAAAAAAGAAGGAAAATTCCATAGTTAATGAATGGCTTATTGCATAATTTTCAAATAATTTAACCATTGATTTATAGTACTAGTATTATTAAAGTATTTTTTTGTTGTTTTCTCTTTTTTTATAAGGAGATTTGAAGACATGAAACACTATGCTGAAAATTTAGGAAGTAATGTTGGGGCTATGATAAAAGTCAGACAGGTAGTTAATTTTTTTTGTTTTTTAATAATAATAATTTTTTTAGAACCTTTGAAGCTTGGTGCTGTCTCAGAGACCTGTCCTATACAATCCCTTATGTCAATACAGTTGTTCAGTAATGAGTACTTTTTAATAATTGTATGTTTCTTTTTTATTACATTATGTATTTTTAGCGTATTTCAGATACAATATTTTCCATCCACAAACAACATGCCACCTATGGAAAGACATTTAGGTGAGTAACTTTGCTCTTGTGGTTCATAAATACCTACAACCTTCATTACAATTTTGTCCAAACATCTCTTCTTTCCTGCTTGTAAATTTTGATGATAGTGACACAAGTGAACCACATAAGAAACACAATCAAACAAACAAAATGAAAAAAAGAAAAGAAAGACTTAGCATTAAAGGGGAATGGATTGTTTCAACAAAACTTGGTTAAGGTTGTCAGCCTTTTCAACCTACATGTAGAAGAATCTTTGTCTGAGTAACTAATGAGTGATTTTTTCTTCCTATCATCAACAGTGAGTGGAGTTCATTGGAGAAAGAGATGGGTGATGATCTACAAAAATCTGGCCATTACATGGACAGGTCAGCAGCTGGTTTTGATTACACCATTACTTTGATTGAAGAAATATTTTATTTGTTCTTGGCACAAGGGTGTTGATCAAGTTGTCTCTTTCAAATAGTTAAAATTTAGTGAATAGGCATAAAATTTGTAATAATTCATATGTAAAATACCAACAGATTTTCAGCATCTGTTGATGAAGCACTTAATGAAGATGAAATGGCATTCGCAGAACCACTCAAGGAATATCTACACTTCTCTGATGTGTTAAAGTAAGTATACCTCTTTTTCATTGACTGGAATTTTTTATGCCATGTATTGCATGGCAGCCTTATGTTATCATCAGTGATGGTTATAATTTTTTAATAAACTCAACCTGATATTTCTACCTAGTAAACTTTTGGTTTTACTGGTAAACTTAGTAATAAGCTTGAATTTGTGCTACTTAATATGTGAAGCACACAGTGGTCATTGAACATGTTACATGCATCACATCACATTTTGGTTTCCTATTGAACTGTCTCTCTTCTGTGTTTCAGAGGTGTAGCAAGTCGGCAGCTTCTTCGTCAGTATGACATGGAAAAGGCGGAAGAGACTTTGAATAATAAGAAAACGCAGAGAGATGATTTAAATGCTCAAAAGGTAACTTGAGCAATAGGTTAAGTTGTACATCATGAAAGTACAATTGCTTGGAAATTCCAGCCAGTTGTAGCATGTTAGTAGGCCCACATTATAAGTACTAGAGGTTTGGGATCGAGCACCAGACCACTCACAGACCTTTCACCTGCTTGAATTGCTCAAGGTCATCTACCAGCTTGTGTATGCAAAGAAATGCTTATGCCTGAGGGCTTCTAATGATGTTTTTGAGTCTGATGGATCCCTACTTCCTTAAAACCATTTTCAACTGAAAAATTATGAATACTATCATGCAAACACTGCTGATTTCTGTAAAAATTTCAAGTGTGTCAATTTAAATTTGTGAGTGTTGAATGTTACACCTCTCTGTTGAGTACAAAATTGAGAACAATCCATTTTTTTGGATATCTTTTTTATGTAGTCATTAAAATCATATTTATTTTGTTTGTAATGATTAATGATCGCCATATTTGTAGGAAGCCTTACAAAGTGGACAGACCCCACCCAAGTCAGGAGGATTTTCATTCAAGGGATTGTCATCCATGATTTTTGGTGCTGAGACTCCAGAAGTGTTAGAGACCAAGATAAACAATTTGGATGAACAAATAAATGATGCTGAGGAAAATGTGAAAACCACAAAGGAGGAAGTTAGGTTGTTTTATTTATGTTTGCATAGATTTACTTTTAATCACTCATCCACACATACTAATCTCATTGAATTTTTGGGTTTAAATATTCCTTTAAAGAGAGAGTTGCTTTTGAGGTTTCCTCCCCAGTTAAGTAATATAACTTACTGATTAATGGTAATTGATTCATATTTATTACAATGATGCTGATGGTCTTGTTGCTATGCTGTTAAATATGACCCACTAGAGTCACTACCCAACCCCCCTTCTCCCTTCCTCTCCTTACTTTCCAGGGTTTGCTCATGCTACAGTTTACTTCCCACAAACATTTGACAAAACCATAATTTCATCTGTTTCCTGTTTTCCTGTTTTTTTTTTTTTAATTCTCATCTGATATTTCTCAGAATATTCAACGAGGAAGCACTAAAAGACTATGAACGCTTCAAAAAACAAGAAGTAAGAGATTTGAAGGAAGTGTTAGCAGCACATATCAAGACTCAAATAATGATATGCAAATTGGTATGTGCCTGATTTACATAGAATTTTTACAGATTGCATGTACTTTTCATCCGAGATAGACCTGCATTTCAATGTAATAATAAAATACCAAAATCTGGGAGATATTTTTTCAGACCTTAAATGTGAATTCAAAATTTTAAAAAGCACTTTTTACAACTTGGTACTCCTTTACTCATCTAAGTGTCATTGCTTCTTCTATGTACTGCGGTAGAACTGTGTGTTTCCTAGGCATCATTGTTAAAATGTGAAAAGGTGAAACTTGTGCAGAAAGGGCATTGAAATGACCTTGAATTTTCTTCCTAAAATCTGTAACATGTGGCAGTTTACCAGTATTTAGTTGCTAACTGATGTTAACTTCAAATGATGATAATGTACAATGTGAGATGTGGAATTCCACATTTTATTGTCAATGTTTTATTTATTTCGTAGGGGATATCTACATGGCAAGATATGAAAGAGACAGCAAAGACTTTGTAACAATGAATCATCAGTAGTTGATAAAATGGAATTTTAAGAAGAATACAAAACTGACTAGAAATGTATTTTTTGCAAGATATGAATGAATCATCTTTTGGTAGTGCATTGTAAAATGAAGGAAGATCTCACCACATTGGCTATTACTAGAGTAGGAGAAAATTTCCTTCAAGTTTGTCTAAAAAAAAAGTGTGGACTGGTAATTTTTCAACATCAATCAAACACATAGCACCACACGAACTAATGATAATGAGAGGGGGAGGGGGAGGGGGAAAATATCTCTATTATAATATTTGTTATTCGCTAGATACACTTGGCTTTTTGTGTGTTGTACTCCAGTGAAGCCTACTCAGGGGTAACATTACTTAATTGCAAAATCATACTTGAGTTCTTTCAATCATAACTGGTGATCATAATTACAGTTGATCATTTGTAAATAAGTTCAAAAAGAAAATATGTAGAATAGAAACACATCTAAAGCTCCAATTTCTTTCTTTTCTCTGATTTTTGAACAAAGGACAGTGTGGATTACCAAGTTGGACCCAAATTATTCTATTATAATCCTCAAATGAAAAACCAACTTATTCAGATTAAGTATGGCATCTAATGGATGGCAGTGGTTAATGGCAATCCATTTGCTGCAGTTAGTCAAGGGCCAAGTTGACACAAGTATCGATGGTATTTGAGGAAACAAAGATCTCTAGGCTTGCATAGTTTCAAGGAGAGGATCAATCTCATACGGCTTGTTGATATGGCCATCTCTCTCACTATTCCAAACATACCCTTTTTTTACAGTGGGTAGAATAAAAAGGCAAGCTGTGTTCACAGCCAGAACTCCAATACTGTGGAACACCGTTTATGACTAATGGGCATCTGTAATACTTATTTGTGTGCCTTTACAATTTGTTCTGTTGAGTTTTGTGACAGTCAAATGAACTAAGTACAGTAAAACTTTTCATGAGATCCTCAACTGAGTGGTCATATGGTCTCATTTCAGTTCCACTCTTTATCTTCCAATAATTATCACCAGGAACAGAAAGAGAGACTAAAGACTTCACAGCATATTGACTGAATTAGTGGGGTTTAAATAATAAAAATTTTCAGCTCCTCATCAGGACAAAATGTTTTAGGAAAAGCAAGGTAGCTATGTGGCAAGGTTGTGCATCATACAGAAACAAACTAAGATATAAAATGCAACACAAGAGTGAATTCTATACGATGGTTTTATTTTGTTGTTTACAAATTTAGCTTATGCAACCAAAGCAGAGGCTGTAGATGATTCACTGAAACAATAAGACAGAAAAACAGAGTTAATCATTGGCAAACATTTCAATACTCCTGATACTGTATTTTAATTCTTCAAGACTTGTCTTCAGACTGGTTTCATCCATTTCCACCCTTGGTACCTTACACATGACTTCTTTTATTACTTTTCTATGTTGAAAGATGGGTAGAACAATCAATAATGATCTTAAAATGTCCAAACAGATTGTCTATAATTACCCTCCCTTAGTAAAATGAGGAAACTACAATTTGCTGCTGGAAGGAACATGTACAGACAAGTATAACAAGTGAATAACATCAAGTTTTTTAAACTAAGGACCATTTGCAGCAAAAACCAAATGAGCACTTGAACAAATCTTACTATTTCCAGTTGGCTGGCAGAACTCTTTTGGTCTTGTAATAACGGGCCAGACGATGGATCCTACTTTCAATAAGAATCAGCCTGAATTTAGAGTCCTTATCCTGTAATGTAAAACAAAAACAAAAATAATGAAGCTCAATTCCTCTTGGCTCAAAAGCAGTTTGATGGACTATCTTTGCTTTTCATTCCACACTTACATCAACACAGTTGCAGTTGATGATGAGCTTTTTTGCATTATGTATCTGTTATGACCAGTTCTACCTCAAAACCTCTTCCTTAATTGACTAGCTCAATAAGAAATGAAAAAGGTTTGCTAGAGACAGCAACAGAAAACCAAAGAAATTTGAGCAGAAGGTTTTTCCTCCTGAGCTCCTGCTTTATACATTTGTGATTACCCCATCTCCATATTGATCAAAGGGAAGTTCTCTTGGATAATTACAGATATATTTATTGTACCTTTACTGTACCAATTTCAAGCCTTCACGTAATATAGAAAGCAAAGGTTACCCACCTTTCGGTGCTTCTCGAGATGCTTGCGGACTGCAACAGCTTTTTTGATAAGGAAATAAAGATCCTCAGGGAGTGATCCAGCAAGCCCTGTGAATAAAAACCAACTTAGAGGATAATGTTTCTTTGGAGCCACCCTGATAACTAACAATTTGCTAGATTTAAGTGACATTAATTGATTAATTGATTTAAGTAATAATTTGGCTTCCAGATAAATTTTACAGTTTCACCACAACAACAGACATACAGCACAGTTGAAAATCTAAGTCAACAAAAAGCTGCACACAGGGTAGCAATTTCAAGGATATTATTAACTCTTGACAATCACAAATAAATAAAAGAAATGTTCGGATGGATGCCTTCATATCATTCTCCAAAATATGCAGGTTAGAAATCCATTAGCTGATTGCTTAGTAACAAATATAAGTACCTTTAGCTTTGAGAATCCTGAGAATCTTATTTCCTGTGATGTAACGTACTTGTGCCACACCATGTGAGTCACGCAAAATCACACCTGTATTGAAACAAACGATTTCTTTTTCAGTTGGAGTCTTGAATATTCCTTTGTTTGATCTTCAGTAAATAGCTCTCCAAAAGGTGACAATTCTGGTTGCTACAGCAAGTAGAATAATTCTTTGGGGACTGAACTTTCAGCAAAAGTTGCCAAATGAGTAGCCAGAATGCAATGATTTCCCTCTTAAATTTTTATGACCTTAAATTCAATTAAGTTAAAGATTTTCATAGAATATTACTACTTCCTTTTGTTTCTTTAATTTCTCTAAGGTTGTGCAAGTGCATTGTTTCAAGACACTACGAAAGCTTTCAGGAAAGACTGCCAGTTATTGCTGAGTAAGACTTTTTTCCGGCTATAATTTTCTGATTTTCAGTCACCAAAGAGCAACTTGAAAAGCTCTGAACTTGAAGCACTGCTACTAGAAAAATTCAATGCTTCTATACTAACCAATCTGAGAAGGAGTCAAGCCCTTCTTCGCTAACTTGTAAATTTGTTCCTTGACATCATCAGCTGTCAACTTGAGCCACTTGTATGAACAAAACAGAAAAATATACAAATCACAATTAGTTAACAAGCATCATTATTGTTTACTGAATAAGTGAAACTACAATATTTTTAAAACACCATAAATCCCAGGTAAATTGATGCCTTGTATTTGAAAATGCTGCATTTTCAATGTTAACCATTCAATAGACCAAATTACTCTGACATTTCTCAATGAACATACAGTTCAACTCACAACTGAGGGAAATTTATAGTAGTTCAACGTTCGTTTGGCTCCTTATCCTTACATTAAAAATAAGACTTCTTTAATTCAATAATCTGCAAAAATTAAAAAATGTACAATCCATTTCTTTACCACTCAAAATTTCCATTTATACGTACATGTAACTAACGAATCACATGTAAGAAGATCACCCATCGGAAAGTATGTCGAATGATGCTGTTTTTTAAGCATTGTTGTTGAGATCAACTCAAGACAGAATTCAAAGTAGTTCATCAATATCTGAGAAAATTCTTAATTTCTACGGCATCAAAGCTGAAAACGAGTCTTCAAAACAATAAAAAAATGTTAGCGCATGAAGACAAATAGAAAATTCACCCATAAAGAGCATGTATGCGTGTGTACTTATGAAGAAATTTAACTTATTTTCCTTAATCCACAAGCAATTATATCGTAATTATCTCACCGTTGGGACACTTCGGCGATAAGGCAAAGCTGAACCAGATATACCTTTCCTTTGAAAAAATATCAGAAAAAAGTCAGGAAAGTTGCGAAGAAACGAAAAGCTTGAAGTTCCGATAGAACATAATCCACATCATTGAACATGCCTCTTACACTCTTATTTAGAGTACAAAGCTACATTCTGAGTATATCAGCTGGTTCAAACACTCTTTAACATTTTTCTTGTCAATTTTCCTTACCCTGGTGCGTGTAATCGACCCATTCTGGGAGTTTTCTTGTAGCACTTACGGAGCTACACTAGAATCCAAGATGGCCGCAGAAAAAGAGGGCTAACTCACGTGTCGGAAAAGCTTAATTTCCCAGGATTCCAATAAGGGGCATACTAGTTCCCAGCTTCCCTCCCAACAGTGCGATATCGACCCAAAGCCGCACAAAGTTGACTCAGTTTTTTGTTTTCGATTTTACCCTAACATTTGAAAAATACATCCGGTTGATAGGACAGAGATTTTCTTTTTCATGTGCAAAAAAAAATTCCCAAAAAAGTCATTGGATGGTCATATCAAGCATCTGACTGAAATTATTTTGCCACTGCTCCATGTCACCTGAGCAGTGTTTAGCAATCATTCAGTACCTTTCGCATGTTTTTATCGCTTGCCTCCAATTAAGCAGTATCTTTTTACTATTTTATTTGAAAAAAAGCTCAAAAGTTATGACTACCTTCTTGTTCATATTCCAAGAAGCATGTGTTTATGTATCATTTATTTCATTTCAGCAAAGATGAGGATAAACACAGAACAGCTGGAGTAAAAAATGATACAGAAGAGAAATGAAATACAAAAATAACCTTTATTTCATATTTTGATTCACACCAGAATTTAAATGAAGGTCTCCTTCTGAGAAGAATAACATGCCACAATCTTTCCCCATTCCATCTAATGCAACAAGATACAAGTTTTCTGCAAATAAATGATTCTAGATAAGAAAATTCAACTAATAACAATCTAAGAAAACAAAACACAAGCTCAATAGCATGTTCCAGAGATCAACTCAGAACTACTTTCAGTTTATATTTTTGCACCTCTGAATATGTTTAATGCTTTGTGAGTTTTGAAGTAACCTGTTACAAAATGGACATTGCACATGCCCTACTTCTCTAACATGCCTCTTGAGTACTTCTTCATTCTTGCACTTCTTTCCACAGCCCTGGCACCAAACTGTGACATCATCATCAGTTTGACCTTCTTGCACCAAAGCCCTACCAAAAGGACACTTCTTCTTGTGCTTCTTGGAAATTTCCGACAAAAAAATCTGTCCACATTTGCACTGAGGATGAATTGTGCTGTGTTTATTCAGGCTATCTTGACCTTTAACCTTTTTGCCGCACACTTGACACTGGAGAGTCTCTACATGCTTCTCCTCATCATCCTCCTCCATAAACACTTGTTCTTGGCCCTTTACCATTTTCATGTGCAGGTAAATTTTCAATCCAATCCATGCATCTAATGCAGCATAGTGGATTTGTTTAAGTCTCAAGGGGCATCTCTCCCAATTGCTCATGGACACAGACTTTGGTTTTTCCAGGTCAATTCCAAGGAAATGTTTGGCAAGAGCTTTAAGCCCTAGCTTCTGTGAAACAGGTATACCAATTGACTTGGCCATTTTCTGTGTATCCATAAGCCCCTTGCAACTAAGTCCTGTGTCACGATTTAGCTTTGTTACATCTTGTAAAATTCCACTTCCAACTTTTAAGATCAACTTGTTACTCAAAACATTCCTCAACAACACTGGTTTTGACTCCATATGGCAAAGGTGCAAAACCAAACATGACCCTTCAACACTCAGCTGCAACACTGCAGTCTTGTTTTCTACTCCTCCGTCCTTCTTCCTTTTCAGTTGGGGCTTCCACTCAATGTCTAAACCAACTGCTTGTGCAGAACAATCAATAACATTATTCTTTAACCAAGCCTCTGCTTCAACTGGGTCTTTGGTGTATTGCACTTCAACACCTTCGGCTGGATAAGGTAGAGTATGGATAAGAGTCTTCCCTCCTCCAGGATTATGCTTATTTCTCCTCATATCTGGCTTTGAGATGTTTTTTATTTTTCTCCTGCCATTTGCTATGTCACTAGTCTTGTTTAACATAGAACCATGTTCAACTTCTTCATTACTGTCCATCATGGTACCATGCTTGACTTCATCACCAGTATTTTGAGGCAAATTACAGGTCAATGTTTCCTCGGACCCTTGAGTAACAGGGTTGCTTAATTCAGAACTTGTTGTGCATGTCTCAACACTTTTGTCTGAAATGCTACTTTGTTTCTTGCCATTCCCTGATGTCTGACTGCATACGGAATCTACTACGTTTCTCTTAAAATTTGGATTTGAAGCAACAGCCCTTCGAATGTTAGAAATCAATTTTTCGACCGTCAGATGACTACCTTGACCAGAACTTGTAGCTGAGTACTTGGAATGACGGCTTTCACGGAACCCCAAAGGATGTTCGAATTTAACTTTGCGCATCTGGTGATTCTCATACCCATCAGCCAGTCGATCGGAACGTGATTGTCCAGCTTCAGGTTCCAGGATGTTTCTCTCTGCTCTCCTTTCAATCCAAAACTTTCCCTTTTGAGCATAATCCTGAGCACGGTCATTACAAGTTGTCCATGATAACGCTGAATAACTATATTGTTCTCTTACAGTTGGATTACCTGGCTCCTGTTTGATCACAAACTGTGACGACACCTCATAAGCTCCACTATAAGATGTTCCATCATAAGATTCTGATGCTTTACTCTTGAGAATGCGATCGTTAATACTTTCAGCTTTGCGACGCAGAAGGTAATCCCAGCCTGGCAGTTGACTATTACCGCCATTATCTGGTGCAGAAGTTGGATGCAGTGATGATGAAAAGTTTTTATCTTCAAACACTCTTTCTTGCTTGACAGCGCTTGATTCTGTCCAATGTTTGTAGGGATGTTGCCTGTATCGCGTTCGATTGCGATAAGGGCGGCTCATATCCGTGCAATTAGTAAACTTCTCTCAAATCGACGTGGGCAACATCAAAACTCATGGAAAACACGAAATCAATGAACATTGGCAACCAAGCCTAGGCAATACGACCGAGTGGCACCCTGGATACCAAGCACTGCTGAGTCAGAGTGTCGCGGTGCATTAGTGTTAACCCTGATCCAAAATGACGGAAAGATACAGCTTTAGTCTAACAACTTTCAGGTACAGTTTAATTATTTTATTCTCTCTTTCCCTCTAAGACCTAAAAGAATCTTTAGCAGTACAAACAAGATGTTATTATGGCTAATTATTCTGTCGGGAAATATGAAACAAGTCACCCAGAATTAGATGCCACCTACCTTGTCTTCACGTAGACTGCATTGTCTTCCATATTACTTTTGTTGAAAAATTTTCGACAAATATCATTTCTGTTGGTGTTTAACCAAATCCCAAGTAATTTTAGAGTGTGAAAATTGGTGATTCAGTAATTTATAGCTTCTACTGTTCCTTTTGTGGACATCTGTGTACCATAACCACGGTCTAAATTACGTTAACACGTGCACGTAAGCTTGAGCTCAGTACTAGCTTAGCTTAGGTGACTTTTATTTTAAGAGGAAATTTTTCAATTTCTCCAGTCAGGGGTGGATTTTTATTTGAACATATCGTACCGTAATCAAACAACAGCATATCCGGTTGCTTAATTGCATTTGTTGAATGAAAATACTTAGGGTATTTTTAAGTAATTCGCCTTTCAAATCCCACCAACACATATATATGAAGTTGTCTTGAAATAGCCATGTATTCTTCAGTGCATGTGTCTCAGTCAATCAAACAGTAAATGGTCTGACTTTCAGTCAGTCATACTTAGGCAAAACTGACAGTGTTGCATCTCTGAGCTAACATTCAGTCACATGATACATGTGGACAGATGGATGTGTAATACATATAGTCTAAATTGAAAATAATTTCAAAAATAATTTTTAATTAATTTGCACCAATTTCTCAATTGTGCCAGGTACATTGCCATAATCCTTAAACAAATGGGGATACAAATCAAACTAGTTTAAAATTATTTATAATGGTAATAGGACCAAGTGGAGTCCAATTCAGCCTGTAATGATATGAGTGATTAACAAAATTGGATGACCGCAAAGCAGGAGTCCAATTTGTTAATCACAAATATGGTTACAGACAGACTTGGATGACACGAAGTTCTGTTACTGATTAATCCAAACTATGACAAAATTTGAGAAAGAAACTAAACATTGGTTGTACGTTTTAATAAAAAAACAACAGTTAACTCAGCAAAACACAAGAAAACAGTATGCACACACGGTGCATTCTGTCCACTTTCACAGGCATGACATGTTTACTGTCCCTTCAATTGTCCTATTACACTGTCAAATTACAAGCATGATGTGTACACTGTCCTATTAGTACTAAAATCAGGCTGGTGATAACCAATCATGTTTGAGAATTTTGTTATAGTTTTGATTAAACCTTCAACAAACACATCTGGGAAATGGCTATTTTTGGAATAATTTTTAAAATCTTTAAATTTGCAAAAATTTCTGTGGACTTGCAAAATTTGCTCTATCACAGTCAGGGGAGAAGACAATAATCTCTGCAAAGTTTTGCTAGAGTGTGTTTTTATATTTGGTCCACAGTCCTTCTGGAAAACTTGTTCAGATAGAATATGCTCTGGCAGCTGTAGCAGCAGGAGGGCCTTCTGTGGGTATAAAAGGTCAGTTTTAGTGACAGTAAATAGTCTTGAATATAGGAGAATGTCATGAAATGAAAACTGTATTCACTGTGAATTATTTCATTGACATGTCCCTTAGAACAAGCCCTCATCAAATAAGTGCCCCTCCTATCAACCAGAAATTTAACTCTGTAATCCCTTACACTGATTACCATCAAACCTCTCCTTACAATATCAACCCTGAAAATAAGGGAGATGATTGTTCTCTAAAGAGGCTTGTGATTGTTCAGCAAATTCTCAATTTCTGCACCATAGCAATTTCACTGGGAAAGTATGGAGGATAAGTACACTGATGTATCTGAAGGGTAAATTGTCATCCCCTATGCTCTGCTAATAAGATAGAAAACTGATCACATTTGTTTAACCACTCAAGTGGGCAATTGTAGTGTAAGTTTTGTACATTTAGGTTTTGTTAGCAGCCCTAATATATACTTAAAGTTTTACTTTAAATTTTTTACTTTTTTTAAATATTTTAAAAAAAGCATCAAATGGAGTTGTCCTTGCTGCTGAAAAGAAACAGAAGTCAGTTTTATACGATGACAGTACAATCAACAAGGTTGGATTCTATTTGTTACAATCAAAAACATTGCTGACAGATTAAAATGGTGAACTTATTTATGTCCAGCATTTGCACATAAAATCACATTGCTTTTGTCATATATTTTACCAATAAGAAGAGTTGGTTATCAAGAAGGAGGCAAGATGCTTTTGTTAATTTTCATTTTCCTTTTTAAAATTTGGGCATTTTATATTGAAAATTTTGTCAGTGTATCTTATGCATAGCCTCAGACTTGTTGACATTTTGAGGCAGAGGAGCCAAGAGATCAGAAGGCTATTGTAATGCAGTAGCTTTGTGTTCAAGCCCTGCACTACTACAAGTTAGATTTTGTGGTTGCCCTGAGTTCAACAGCTTAGCTGCACTTCGGGAAATGATAAATAGCCAACTGATTTGCCTCCTTCCAGTTAGCATTTTTTACAGCTTAACACTCTGAGTTTACTTGAAAATGTTCATTCCATTGTTTGTTCATATTTGCCCTAAAAAAACCCCATCATACTAGGAAGTTATCTGTGAAGATTTTCTTTTACCTTTTGCTTTCAGGTGGAAATGGTGACAAAGAGTGTTGGAATGGTTTATAGTGGAATGGGCCCAGACTACAGGTTTGTTTGTGGCTTCTACTGCTATATTTGATGCTTTGCCTTCCTTCTGCTAGTTCTGCTAATCTTCTTCAGATGAAATGAGTTGATTTTCTCAAGTTTGCATAAGAAGTGAAATAGGAAAGGTTGAATGTTTAATAATTTGATATATTCATTGTTAGTCTTTGGTTGATCTGGTCATAAAGAACTCATTTCCAAATTGCTTTGGATACGAAAAACAATTCAATCCACTGTGTGGCTGGTGGGAAAAAAAAGACAAAGCTAAACAAAAACAGTTTAATATGAGATGAGAGCTGTGACCATCACTCAACTTTTATATAGAATTTGATTCAATCTAGATTCCATTTTCAAATATGTAGTGGTAATTTTTTTTTTTGCCAAAAGTACTACTTTTTTTCACTCACAGAGTTCTGGTTCGACATGCCAGGAAGATAGCACAGCAATACTATCTAATGTATCAGGAGGAAATACCAACTGCACAGTTGGTTCAAAAACTTGCATCCGTGGTCCAGGAGTACACCCAGTCAGGGTAAGTACACTACCAGTAGTGCAACTAGCAGAAGAAAATCTCGTAAATTAGTCAATGTTATTTTTCAAGTTGTGCATATGAGATTTATTGCTGTCTCATTGTTTTTGTGTCTTTTTCTAGTGGTGTTCGACCATTTGGTGTGTCTCTTCTTGTTGCTGGGTGGGATGATGACAGGCCATACTTATTTCAATGTGATCCATCGGTAAGGAAGTAATTTGTGTTCTTTGTAAGATGTAAGAGACACACTCTAATAATTTTACATAAGGTTATAGGTTCAATATCAGTATCTGGGCAACTGCCCACCTACCCCTCCCTTAACCCAACATTAACCTCAACTTGTTATCAATTGACTGTTGTTGAGTTAGGTGAGGGGTAGGTGGGCAGTTGCCCAGATACTGATATTGATCCAGGTTATACATGTAAGTTAATATGACAACCGGCCATAAGGGTTTAAAGTTGGAGTTGTGCAGTATGAAACCAAATTTTACAAAACAGCTCACGAAGGGAGAATACAGCTTGTAGCCTGCGGTGTTACAAGTGACTAACAACAGTTAATTAGGACTGACAAACTCTGTCATGAAACTTATCAGGCTTGCGAAGTATATGGTTAGTTCATACTTTCTATTAGAGAGTCTGCTGCTTGACTGTCTCTTTTCCTGTTAAGAGTAGTTTTTGTTACTATTGGAAGGTTCTTGCAGTAAAAAATTTTAACTCAGACTACCTTACATTTAGATCAGTCACTTTCATCTCACAGATATTAACTAAGCTCTATGAACAAAATACTTACAAAATTGTGTGTATTTCAGGGATCGTATTTTGCCTGGAAGGCCACTGCTATGGGCAAAAACTATATCAATGGCAAAACTTTTCTTGAAAAGAGGTAAGTTCTATATACTGTGATTATCCTTTAGATATGCCTTGATTAATCAAATCCAAATTTCACAGTCTGTCATGTCACTTGTTGCTTTGTTTGTTTGTTTGTTGAATAATACAAATGGAAGATGGTTATATATTCAAATCACCAAAACTAAAGTCTTGAGATTATAACTGGAGAGAATTGATGTTAACTCTTTCAGTAACTGGCACAATAGTATAGATGGCATCCATAGATCCAAAAGTTGGAAAAACATGTCTTCTCACCTCTTGATTTTATTTTTGAGGGATCCTTACCTGACTTTCCCAATGTGTAAATGACCTATTTCGTTGTCTTATGCTTCAAGACCTAGGTTCATCTCTAGTTTGATGAACTTTCCCATTTTTGTCATTGGTCTCTATTTTAAGATCTCATTTATAGTTAGATGACATCTTCACTTTGCAGGTATAATGAAAATCTTGAATTAGAAGATGCTATCCATACAGCAATCTTGACTCTTAAGGTGAGTTCACAACAACAATTTTTTGAACATCATTTTCCTAAAAAGTGGAAATTGTTAAGAATAATGTTTTTCTAAAATTGTATTTCCTGAGGTAAAAGGAGATTGCCTTAGCCTAACAGGCTGGGAAATAAAATGAGAAAGTGCTAGACTACTAGGAACTACTAAACTGCTCTCTCCTTTGTTTTTGTCTCAATGCAGGAGAGTTTTGAAGGACAAATGACAGAAGACAATATTGAGTTAGGGGTGTGTAATGAGCAAGGCTTCCGTCGTCTCACCCCTGCAGAAGTAAAGGACTACTTGGCCTCTATCATATCTTAATTTAGACATCATCTTCCTTGATATTGGTAATAGACAAGCTGTCTCACTGCTAGTGTTTTTTTTTAAGTTTCCCTTGCTTTGAAGTGTTAAGGAGCCAAAACATGAAGGACTGTGGAAGTTGGAAGTTATCATTAGACTCAAGTGTTCCTTATGCAGGAGCATCTTGTTTGACAACTGCTGTAGTTTTTGCCATGTTTAACAAAATCAGCTGAAATTATTTGCTACTGATCATTCAGGAACATCTTATTTAAATCTTGATGAGGTTAGAATCATTAGATGTTGGTGGTAGTTTCATACTAGTTCTGGCAGTCACATCTTTTAACAGATATTTCCCTTAGTATGTAGGTTTTCAAAACAAAGCCCTCTACAGAATAAAAAAAAATTCTCTAGTTGTGAATTTATGCTGGATTATTCCTTGAATGGGAATGACAAAGAGTTAACACTCAAAACATCAGCTTGGCAGCTGCTTGCGATGGCCAATTTACATCATCAACTAAGCTGATGGAACCAAACCATCCTTTTATACTCCCACTGACCCAGCATTACAGTTTCTCTACAAACTTATCTCCTTTATTTATTCTTTAATAACTTCTTTTAATGATGCTAGGTGGGTGTTACATGTCAATGAGTCCTGTCATGGCATCTTACTGCAGTCAACCTGACTACCAGCTGTTACTCAGAATAGTCAACCCTGCTTCCTCCTCCCCTATGTTCCTTCCCCCCCCCCCCACTCCATTCCTTATCCCCCTCCCTTAATACATGGGTAGTGGAAATTGATTGAACCCATATAAATTTTTTGAAACTATCTGTAGCACGTCATTGAAGTATTGGTAGAAAGTTTCTTGAGAGTTGATGGACATTCAGGGAAGGAGAGCTATCCCATTTCTTGCAAAAGAATTAGAGAGCCTGTTACATCTGCAGCAAATCCCATGAGTCATGAAACGATCTTGTGCTGTTCTTGTACTTGTTACTCCCGCTGGTTTGCAATAATTGTTGTGTTTTAACTTTTTACACATCAAAGTTTTCCCATTGATGAAGACTGTTCATGATGCTTCTAGTTCGCACTGCTGTCCACACACAAACCATGGAACAACTGGGAAACTACAGTAGTAAGGGTGTGGTATGTAGTGTCCATTGTACATGAAGCTGCGTCTGTCACAAGACAAAGTTTATAAGCTGCCAACATTAGACACACATGTTCATCAGAAGTGATATCTTTTAAGTTCTTTGTGTACATTGCTGTGCATTTCTTTATGGCCACCTCACAATGGGTTGCTCCTCTTTGTGCTGATCTAAACAAATCTCCTAAAATGATAACAAATAGACAAGATGTAAAGAGCCCTTACACCCCTAAAAGCGACTTTTTCCCCTACAATATCATCCTTGAGTCAAACATTTACTAGGTCACAAGAATCAAGGAAATGATCACCAACTGAAGCTCTTGATTGTTAAACAAATTCTCCTAGGCTGCACCTAAGGAAATGTCTAGAAAACAGTATGGAGAATATGTTTACTGATGTTAGGGTGTAAAGGGTTTATAGTAGACATTTCACGTGAATTATAAACTATAGAAATAAGACAAAGTATGCTCTTTTGGTCAACTTAAATCTCAATTTTTTTTGTCATTTCAGAATCATGTTTATAAAGAAATAATTATATTTGGTTGACCTGTGTGGCTGTCTTTCACAATTTCTTCGCAAAATAGTTGTTTTAAGCTGTTTCACGGAACCTCGTTACAACATAAGTTTAGTAAAAACGTTTGTTGTTGCACGTAGCAAAAGCTAGAACCCAGTTTTTCAGGCTCGCGTCCAAAATCATCCAATCTTGTATGTGACATGTTATGACGTTTTTATAACCCGTTTCCAAACCTCTAGAGAAATTAAGGCATGCGATATACCCCCCACCCCAAAATGAAAATCTCTCTCTACAGACTAAGTCCATGACGGGGATTTCCCCTCCCCCCTATGGCAAAATACATTAATCCAATTATTATAAATAACAAATCCATTAATCCACTAAGAGGATCTTGATTTAATTATAATTAAAAGTACCTCTCTAAAATATTTACGTGCCCGCCATACCTTCTTAACGGCGGTCAGACTATGAAACCTCGCAAGTATGAATGACAGGATAACAGGGAACATAAACAACCGCAGGGTTCTGTTTATCGGTTCCCACTGTCTAGCCTCTCTTAATACCGCCTCAAGTTTATGAGCCGTTCAATTTGTTTCCTTTTTCGTGGCTACACGTTTTGTCTCTTGAAAAAAACAGTAATCCCTCCCACATTATTAGCGATTTTCCTGTTTTTTCAGATTACCAAATGTAGAGTATTCCGTGGGCGGAAAAGCCAAGGAGAGGTTTACGAGCCATTCGATAATGAAACACGGCATTTACATAATCAGGACAAGTTTGTTTTGGCTGTTTTTTTATAAGGAACTTTGAAAACATTTTGGTATGTAGATTTTTTATGAAAACACGAAGCAACGATGTGTTAATTATAAACGTGTTGTAAAAGCACAGTTTCAAATAATTTTCTGGAGAGTATGATGAAACGCGTCACCCAAAGCTAAAATTCCCGCATTTTCTCTCTTTGAGCCATTACTTGGCAAAGATTTGCGAGTGCATCGTAGTTAATTTCGACTGGTAAAAGTCTCCTCGCAAAATCCATTAGTCTCTTCAAAGAGGCCAGCCCCTGAAGGACAGTTTGGTAATTCAAGGAATGCAATCCATTTTACGTATCTTTCGTTCAAGAAAACAGCTGATTGCAATTTTGGTGTTATGAATTAGCATTGAAATGTGACTATGTAAGTAGTAAGAAAGAGAGGTATACGTTCAGTCACGATACATCTTCTGCAAATCTCACAATAGCGTACCTTCGTTTCCTTCAGCTGTTACCGCGAATATTACAGCGGCTGTAAGGATAATCAAAACAGCGACATTCCTTCTCAAATACACCAATTCTATGGTCATTGCTTCAACAGTGATAGAAGGCCGGGCAACTCGTACATCCGTCTGTGCAATGAAGCAACAACTTCCGAAAATATTTTGGCAAGTAATCGAAATTCACTCCTTGTTATGTAAGTAAACAGCGCCTATGCGATAAAAAAACAATATAACATTCCTGGTGACTCAGTACACAAGTTACTACACTGCAGCTGTGAACAGAGGAGAAGAGATAACAACACTTGATATGACTGGGTTAATTATCATAATCAGAGAGGAGGGATAAGGATTTGTATTTTCATGCTCTGGTAAATTAGTTGTATCCATGCCTTGAGGAATACTCTCAAGTCTGGTGTTTCCTTTAATCGGATTAATTTTACCACCGCCAAGACCGCAAACAATACTTTGAACCACTTACAATAATTCATTGCAGTTTCCCGAACATCCTCACTCTACCACCCTTGCAATTCTGTCTGGCATGATATGTGACCCCAAACTTAGAGTGTCGTATGTTTTTTGGAGAAAACCCACGAAAATGATCCGAAAAATCCGGAAGCTAGGTCAAAAAGTAATCTCAGATTTCTTACACAGCAAGCGTCTTTACACGTCCTTCTCAATTAAGATTTATCCCCATAGAATTACTTGGCAAGAGCTTTACAGAACGTAGCCAAAGTGCTTTCGTGATAATGCGACAACGTGAGAAAAATACCCTCTTTTTGGCACAGGTTAACAGATGGAAGAAGAAACCTTTCCAGTGTTGAATGACATGAAAGAATGACCCAATCTGACAAAGCTTATCGTTGTATAGTGACTGTGTTTTGATATCCGATCAGATAGCATCGGATTATATCGTATCCTCATGGAGAAACATGGGATGGCTAAGGCTTGCTCGTCATCTAGCTGAAGTTTGCCAGTCATCAGCTAACATTTCTCTTCAGTAATTATGCCACATCAGTATTTTTACCTGTCACCATTTAGAGATGCCTACGAGAATATTTAAAAAAAAAAACGTCGTTACAGTTGACCTTAGTCGATTACAAGACCGGCGAAGATTAAATTATCGTACAAGTGTCAACCGCTTCTAAGCTGCGTTTTTTTCTTCGAGGTGGGGTTAAGTAAACTCACGACACGCCCTGCATAATGCCCTTCAATAGCTGTAATGAAACCTGTTGATGAGTACATGGAAGTCATTCCCACCGTATCAGGTGAGACATCCTTTGGTGGTCAGGCATATCCCAAAATAACCCCACTTCCGTCCATGATACTCACGAGATGATGGAAGGTGATCTTCCATCGCCCGTATTTACTTAACCCTTTACAGTCTAACATCAGTATGCATATTCTCCACACTGTTCTTTATACATTTCCTGAGGTGTTGACAGGGAGAATTTGTTTGCCAATCAAAAGGTTCCTTCCCTGGTGACCATTTTCTTTATTCTCATGACCCTATAAGTAAGAGAATTTGTGCCATTTTGGATTGAAGATCTGGGTACAAAAGCAAAATCCCCGCATAGAAACAAAGTTAGAAGATGCCCGGACGCCACTTGGGCAACTGAGCTCAATTTCCCATCGTTTAGGGGTACAGTTTCTTCATGTTTGAGAAAATACATTCTCAGTACAGTTCGAGAAAGAGATCGCTGGCCGACTTGTTTGGACACAACTATACCGGTGATTGTCGTAACAACAAATCCTGCGATGCACCCGGAGAACAAAAACCCCTCTTTTTTCTTAGATAAGGTTGGAAAAATTCGCTCGGCGCGTACTGAATACCTCTTCAGATGTACACATACAAAAAAAATTAAGCAGATGGACTTCGATTAACAAAGTCTGGACAAACTACCAGCAAATTTATGGAAACAAAGACAAACAAGCATTGAAAAGTGATGTATTCCATAACCTGCAATCACGCCTGATCGCATGTTAAAAACTTCAGAGTCAAGTTATCAAAATGAAATTCCTAGTTAAACCAATCATTTCCTAATAGCTTAGATTCAGCAGCATTTCTTGTGTATTACATTTCGTGAAAATAGAATTATCATTAAAGTAAAATAGAATTATCATGAGGTAAAATAGAATTTTCTTTAAGGTTGCGTTCTCATTAAGTAGCATCAGTGACACGGAAATTTGATTGGCTTTCTTCATATGGTTTAGCTCTTCCTCTCATGGAGTGACACGCTTTGGGTCACGTGGGAACATGGAACTCTTTCGGACATTATGAATATCCAGGTACAGCATGACTACTCGCTCAAGGCCTGGGAGGGGAGAGAGAGGGTAAGCGTTAGAAACGAAACACAATTTGAGGTGAACTAAAGGGCGATTTCTCGCATCTGGTCTCCTCGTGCTTGAATATCTTCAAAATTATGGCGCAGTCTAAGTCAAATGAGCCCAAAAATAACAGCTTCTGATTAAATCAAAATCACTTTGAGACTTTTCAATGAAAAAAAAAGAGACTTGCTGAATTCAGAGTCCAAAGTCAGAACATAAGTGTTATTGAAAAAGCTGGACCTACAAAAATTTGTGTAAAATCATTAGGACAAAGAGAGACCTATCCAAGAAATTTGAGACAATATTACCACGCAGTCATTACAGAAATGACAAAGAACGTACTATAAAGTCAATGTAGTCGGGAGAGAACTGGGGCGATCAAAGGAAACTTTAACAAGATAACTGAGAACGCATCGCTCCGAGCGAGCATAAAAGTGAAAAAAAGGCACTTACATGAAAGAAAATGTTGGAAATCAAGTTATTAGAGAAGCTTACCTATTCCTCCACCGCCGTGAGGTGGTGCACCATAACGAAATGAGTCAATGTAGGCCTTGATCTTCTCCAAATCTGAACAAGAGGAATAAAGTTAAACTTTTACATGACCATGCGCGGATGGGGCCGGGGGACTGAGTACGAGCCATTGGCTTCTGAGAACCCCTTCCACTTTATAGTCTTAAGACCCCATCTTGTTAGCTTTTGACCAACTCAAATGTAGGCTACAGCTTCGACAATATACTGATTTATAGACCAAAAAGTAGCTAACCTATTTCATGAAGCTTGGCTCTCTCTGCCAACAGGTCGGAGTCGTGTATTCGCTGTGCTCCACTAAGAACCTCCTCTCCGCGCATGAACATGTCGTATGAATTACTCCATTCCTGTTTTATATAAAAAAAAGATGTGCTTATTTGAAAATGTTATGTTGTACTGCTGTTATGTTGTGTTTTACTGTAGTTAGCAAGCTTTTACTACGACACAAAACAAGCCGACAAACTTGATGATCAGCAACGGCTTGAGTTTCACAAAACCCAAATGAAAGCCATTCTATTGATCAGCAATTGACGGCGCCTACAAGTTTGGCTAAGTATTTAAGTTCAATTTCACGGTCAGTGGACAGCAAAAACCCATGGAACTGCTATAAGAGAGGAACTTCTGCGAGGACAAGAAAACACAGGGTTTGGAATACCAACAGGTTCTCATAAAGGTGGGCAAAATTTCAGCTGTACTGTCACAGAGTCGTGTTTGTTTTCAAGTAAGAGCTTTGACTACTGACTATCAATTTAAAAGGCAAACGCAAAATAATAGAAAGGGGGAAAAACAAACAGCAAAGCAACAAAACAAAAATAAACAAAGAAAAATAAGGCAAAAAAGCCGGAAATACCAAAACAAACTTCGTCGTATATAAAAACATATACTGATATTCTGAATGTTATTTCTTTTGTGCGTTTATGCACACTCACTCACTCACAGGATTGTGTGGGTCTGGCATAGTGTAGAATGGACGGACACACAGTGGATACTTGTCCAAAATGAAGAAGTCTGTGTCATATTTCTGCTTGACAAGTTTTCCCAACAATTTCTCATTTGGAGTGCTATGAAAAAACAAACAAGTTCAGTTATAAACAAACTGACAGACATCATTACTGACAGAAAGAAAGACAGAAAGATACTCAGACAAACAGACAAATGGATAACCATACAGATAGACATACAAACAGACAGACAGATGATAGATAGGCAGGCACAGACAGAGAGACAGACAGACTGACAGACAGACAGACAGAGAGACAGACAGACAGAGAGACAGACAGACAGAGACAGACAGAGAGACAGACAGACAGACATACAGACATATCAATATGCAGACATACAAACAGACAAATATACAGACAGAGACAGACAAATAGACCAACAGACTGATGGGTGAACAGACATACAGACAGATCAATACGTAGACATACAAACAGGCAGATATACAGACAGACCAACAGACTGACAGATGGACAGACATACAGACAGATCAATATGCAGACAGACAGACAGGCAGATATACAGACAGACCAACAGACTGACAGATGGACAAACATACAGACAGATCAATATGCAGACATACAGACAGAGACAGACAGACCAACAGACTGACAGATGAACAGACATACAGACAGATCAATATGCAGACATACAAACAGACAGACAGACAGACAGATGATAGACCGACAGATAGACAGACATACAGACAGACAGATGGACATACAGACTGACAGAAAAATGGACAGACAAATGAACAGAGAACTAGGCATATCACACTCACAAATACAGACAAATAGTAAAACCAACTAGACCCAAACAATAAAAATCAACTCCATAAAGCTTGCTTCCCTACTTAAGAGATAGAAAAAATAGTTACCCCTTTACATACCTCAGATCTTCATCATAATTCATGTCTATTCCAGCTTCCCTCAGCATGTCAACTCCTTCACAATAGTTCAACACCAAACTGAATGAACAAAAAAAAAATGCCAGCATGAAGGGTGGTGCCCTTGGGTAAATTTATGTTCACAACAATGACAAAAACATGGAGCCAAAAACTTTAACTTGTTTTTTTCCTAAATGTACATAACTGAAAAATTAGGAGTTTCTGCATTACAAATCAGTTGTACTTTTTAGTCAATACTCAAGGAAAGTTAAAATATATTTTTCTGATAGACAACATTTTTTTGCTTCTTCTCTCTCCATTCAAAATATTGGCATGCACTGTACTTCAACAAGTATGGCCATCTTTCCTTATTTTCAGCAAAAGGAGTTTTAAGAAAGGCCAAAACAAACCTTGGTTCCAGAAATTTAAAAGGTTCACTTGGGTATTGTTTCTGTACTTTTGCAATATCTTCAGCATATCTGAAGGGAAAAAGCAATATAAAGCATAGTATCAGAACAATCAAACTGCCGATTAAGTAAGAAAAATAAACAGCACAAATAGTTGTGGTTTTCTTCACAATATTAAGTAAAAAACAAGGTTCTTGTAGGCAGGACCTGCAGGGGGAGGGGGGATGGTTTCTTGATCTTATGAAAACTTTCCCAGCAAACTTGTATTTTTAAGGATAACCACATTTGTTTAGTCAACACAACAACAACAACGAAAACAATGACAACAAAGTGGATTACAGAACTGTTATCGATTCACTGCAGCAGACAGGGAAAGGAAGTTGATGGATTTGAGCCATAGTCAGAAGGCAGTGGGATTTTATTTAAGATATTCACTTACTGAAGCTATAACCTCAAAAAATGGTGTAACTGTATTCCTGGAAAGTATTCCTCACCATGTAAGAGAAAATCTACTTCCAGGAAAGTGGAAATGCAGTGTTGGTATGGGTTTTTAAAAAGGGTTTTAACAACCATCTATATTGAGATAACTTTTATACAAATATGGTTTTCATTAAAAAAAAAGGATCTCATAATCCTTTTCCAAAGGAAATTTAAGTTGTAAGGAGAACTGTCTGCTTAGAGGAGTATCAGTTGAGACAATTTGTCTTTTTTTAAGCAGTAACCAACTGGTAATAGCCTAACTCTCAGACCATCTCTCACACTTTAAGGGTACAGCACATAAATTGTCACCTGTCACGCAATCCTTTGAAGATATGGACAAAGGTGCGACCAATCATGTCAATCACCTGAAGTAAAGGAAATGCAGACCAGAAGATTATTTCTGCTTACTGTCAGACTGGGATGTTATTTGCAGAGAAATGATTGAGGGAATTCACTGAAGAACATTCAGTGAAGCACACCTTACATATTATCATAATTAGCACATTTTTAGGCTGAGTTACCTCATGATAATGCTCCATAAAAGTCATCTCAATATCAAGACCAATAAATTCTGTCAGGTGCCTGTGTGTATTGCTGTCCTCAGCACGGAAAACTTCAAATTTAAAGTAAAAGAATTGATTTCATATGGATTTAATTAAGTCTTGAAGTATGGAAGACTGGGAAACTACAAGAGAAGCCTCCAATTAATGTATCAATGTCCTAATTGATTATGTTCTTTGACAAGACACTTTTAATTAGTTTCACAATGCCTCTCTCCACCCAGGAGTATAAATGTGTACCTGCAAATAGTCAGGGAAGCCTGGTCAAATGCTGGGGGTATATTGTAGCCTTGCAATGAACTGTTATTCTATCAAGGGTGGAGAAGTAATACTCCTAATCACTTTAAGCTCTGGCTAGATGATCCTCTTGGTTTAAGTACAGACTTTACTATGTCCAAATTTGAACATTTTCAGCGGTTACTGTCAATTCATCACTCACGATACATGTTATACATTTAAATAACAATTTTCAAGTTTTAGTCTCTGCACCTGATCCAATGGTGAATACTCTATCGAAGTCAGCACAAAGTACCATCTGCTTGTAAAGCTGAGGGGACTGGGCCAGATATGCCTTTCCTATTTTCAATAAAAACAATAAATTTTACTCCAAATACAAACAAAATGGATACATTCTAGGGAATGGTGGACCAATCAAATAAGGATACATTTTGCAAAATAATTTTGCAACTACCACATAGGATTGGATTTTGAAAAACAGGTTGGCAACCAGCACAGACAAGTAAAACCTCTGCTCTTAAACAGTCTTGTTTTTTTGCAAACTACTTTCAAAATTCTAGACTGTAATTACTATCCTTTTTTTAAGACAAACCTCTCTCATTTCCTGCTAAATCACCAAATATAAAATATGCGAGGTTGAAAACTTACCTTTGAAATAAGTAACCTCAAACACATTTGCACCTCCCTCGCTCGCAGCTATAAAGGATAAGAAAATCAACATTAAAAATGATCACATGCAAATATTATCAACAACAACAGCAGAGCCAATTATTGCAGTCCAGTAATACTGTGTGCAAAGTTGCACAGCTATTAATCCCTCTAAACAAATTATAAAAGATTAAGAGAAAAGTAAACATCAATCTATCTACTTTCAATAGGACATCACTTACAGTACAGAAATCATAATCTATTGCAAATGACCAACAATATGTCTAATCCAATCCAACCTGAAATTATCTTAGGAGTATGAATTTCATGAAATCCTTGAGACACGAGGAACTCTCTAAATAAATGGCACACACCAGCTTGAATACTGAAAATGGCTTGGTTTGGAACAGTCTGTAAACAAATCACATGTCAGACAAGAAAGCAATTGTAATGACACCCTTAAAACAGGGATAGGTTGGAACAGGGAGTAACACTGACAGCATATTAGTTTTAGCACAAATATAAAAGTCCAAAGTGCAAACTTGAAAAAAAGAAAAAAAGAAAAAAAGGCCTGCATTGTGATTCCAATAGTCTCTGGTGAAATTTGAATTTGGAGTTTTAGTTTCAGTGGAAAGAAAGAAAACAATAGAATGAGCAGGCCACAATGGTAAGAGGCAGGTCTTTAAACCTTGCCCCATCTCTACTCTTCTTAACCTTTACATCCTAATGTAAGTATGCATATTCTCCATACTGTTCTCTTTACAATTCCTAAGGTGCTGACAAGGAGAATTTGTTAAGCAAACAAAACCTCTTTTGATTGGTGATTATTTCTGCTATTCTTGTGAACTTAATGTTTGATTGAGGGGTGATATTACAAGGAAAAGGATTCAAGAGGTTAATACATCATGACAAAATTATGCACATCTAAGTGGCTGAAAATGAGTGCTTTTCATGTAACACATGTGTAAATTACAAAAGGGCCTGCATGCGCAGTCAAAATTGTGTCTGTCTTTACCTACTGTGATGCTTTTTAATGTACATTATTAACAAGTAACAACATGATTTATCATGAAATTTGGTGTAAATAAGCACTTGTAAATTTTCCAAAGACTACAAATTGCACTTGCCCTACCTGCTTGTGCAATTTTGTTGTCTTCGAAAAATTTACCAAATAAATGCTCATTTACACCAAATAGCACTCAAAATCATGTTATTAGCTATACTAATAGCATGGCAAAGTGTACCCTGAGGTCAATAATTCTGTTATCCAGCTTGGTGTCTTGATTCACATGAGCTTGTTCCTGAATTAAAATTAAAGAAAAAAAATGCTTAATCCAGTGGACTACTTTTAATTCTAGCAACTTATAAAATAGACTTTGAGTTTTTGCTGATATAAGTTATCAGTTCTGTCATGATTTTGTTATCATCCAAAATATACATTTTATACTATATTAAATAATGTCCTACCTCATCAGTTTCAGGGCGTGAGGCATCGTCGATCTGCAGGGGTAGTCTTGGCTCAGCCAAACTTACAACAAAAATCTGCAGACACAAAACAAGTAAAAATACTCCACAAATAATAAGAGAAATAAATTTAATTGATGTCTCTGTCTCAGTTCAACATAGATCTCTGTATTCAACAGTGCGGAGAAAAAATTCAAAGTTGTTTGAGTGAGCAGTTTCCATATATTTCAACTAAGTTGAAAATTAACCTTATCAACAAAGATCTCCACATCTTCTTGAGAGCAGCTCTGAACTTTCTGAGCAGCAGATTTCACTTCTCCTTCAACATCAACAATAGACTCTTTGTTTATCCTATAATAAAATATAATCAAAATAAGACAGAAATTAAATCTGCTCATAAGAGATTCCAGCAACAGGTTTCCATCAGCTGTTGTTACAGTGCCCATCTTTTGGGACACAGTTAAGTATGGGTAATGGTAAGAATCTTCACTGGCAATAGGCTGGTTGTCTGAAAGGACACTGTGTCCCCAAGATTGGAGTTGACTTCAATTTTAAGTTAATCCTTTAAACAATATGAGTGACTAGCATCTAATTTCTCCATTCAATATCACCCCTGAATCACACATAAAGGTCATCAGAACAAAGGAAACAATCACCGACTAAAAAAGCTCTGGATTAAAAATTCTCCTCATCGATACCATTGGAATTGTAAAGAGAACAGTAAGGAGAATATTCATACTGATGTTAGGGTGTAGAGGTTATTAATACAGCTTTAACTTAACTGACTTTATTTAACGTACCCTGTCGCAAACTTAACCATTCCTTTACTGATGACATCATTCACAGCACAGATTCCTTGCACAGTGTACTGGCGGTCACGTAAAATCATGAAGCACTGCTTACCTTTGGGGACACAAAATGTTGAAATATTGATGACAAAAAATATCTAATTGCAAATTTTTAATTTGACTTCAAAACATTCAGCAAGAACCACTTCAAAATAGCACTATTCAAAATTACTCTAGACACCAATAAACCACAATCATATATCAATATTTAACATTTCAAACAAAAAAACAAACAAGAAAGTGTACTACCTGTTCCTCTTGTGGTGTGAAGGCGTGCCCTTACTAAAACTCTTTTACCAACAGCCTCAGAGGTCAGATCTTTCACTTTAGTCCAGACTTTGGCTACATAAGACAACAAAACATAACATATTAAACATTATGATGAAGAAGCATTCAAATTATATAGTCCTAGTTTCTAAAAAATCCTGAAAAAATAAACTTTGTAAACACCCAAAGAATACAAAAGAAATAGTTAAATCCTGGGAACTCTAAGGGCCCTATGGTTGTGAGTCTGTTTTCCTAGGGAAGACACTTTAAACTTACTATGCTTCTCTCCACCCAACAACACCAACATAATGACCAGCTCCCAGTTGGCTCGTTAGCTCAGTTGGTAGAGTGCTGCACCGGTATCACAAAGATCATGGGTTCAAATCCTGTACAGGCCTGAATTTTTTTTAAGGCCTTATTTTCAATACTGGTTGAGTAGTATTCATTACTGTGAAGATTGCTTTCATATTCACAGACTTAACCTCTTTTGCCTCATTTGAGTGAGGTGGTATTAGAAATACTCCCTAATAGATAAATTTCATCAAGCTACTGCAGGTGCAAAAAGTATTATCTTAAGCTCTTTGAGAAATGCTTACATGTTTTCTCTCGAGATTGGGCCATTGGAAGGACAGCATAGCGATCCTTTGCATAGTCCTACATGAGAAAATGAAAAAAATGTATTTAGCAATGAAACATCTGTAATTTTTTTTGTCACTGAAACAGAGACTAGGGATTAACCTCTAACTCAAAATGATTTACACAATCATTTCAGTTAAGCTACAAAGAGTATTTTTAGTGCATGGATTAAAACATCCTCAACATGTACTAAAGGCAGTCTCTTACAACTTATGCATTGATGCTACACACTCACAACAAATCCTACCTCAGCATCTTTAGCCTCTGCCTCAGCAGCCTGTGAAGGGAAAAAAAGGTAGAAGTTATGAATTACATTCCAGTACTGGTGATAAGGAAACAGTGGTTCTCTAATGCCACATAAAAATAGACAATTCATCAGGGTTGAAAGAGCTATCAGGTTAAGAAATCTTCCAAAAAAAGAGAGCTTTCCCTTTCCAGTCTTTAATTGACTAAAATTCTATCAAGATATGTAACAGGTTGATGAAAGACACTTATGAATGAATCTCATCTAAAATGCAGATTAAGTACTTTTCTACTGGTACAGCTGTTTACTGACCTGATTATATAAAATGAGAGTACATGTAAATGAGCAATGGATACAAATAAAAAAAATTGTAGTTTAGATAAAACGAGCTTCACAAAAAAAATTTAATTCCGGTTTAAATCAAAGCCTTAGGTCTCGTACAGTATTTTTATATAAAAAATTTCCATTGATAGACCTAGAGGCTGGCTGCGTCGTCTTAAATTGAGTTTAATTTTATTCTTAGAAGCTTTTTCCGACCTGTTTGGCTTCTCTTTCCGCCTTCTTCTTCTCTTTTTCTTTCTCCTTCTCCATCTTTTTCAAGGCTTTCTTCGACAAAGGCTGGCCATCGGGTCTGTAGACCAATATAATGTTTAAAAAATGAGGGTTGTCCATTAAGCGAAATTTAAAATATCTGATGCAATATAATTTCCTTATACCCCAATGTGACCTTCTCTTCGGCAGGCGAACCCCCGATTCCATTTTCTGACGACATAATGAACGGTGTCGTGGTGAGAAAACGCTTCAAAACGAAATGATGTTTGTTCCCTCTCAAGAAGACTATACGTGACGATCTTGAGACAATTTGGGTCACCCGCCACGCTAACATGCAAAAGAACCTTCCTTTACCTCAAGGGGAATTTTCAGTCAGGCGTCACTGACCGGGGTTTGGCTCCAGGACTCCACTGATACCCCCGTCATTTAGGAGGGAATAAAGCGTGCCCATGTCTAAAACGAGGATGTCAAATTAAGCCCTGGTTTAATAGGAAGAGGAAAGAAAGCGTGGAAATAAATAAACAAAAAAACAAAAACAAAAAAGATACAGACAAATGAATAAATACATAGATTTATGAATTAATAAATCGCATAATGTCTGCATGGGAATTGCACCGCGTTCGCCCCCTATCGAGTTCGCCCCTTCGAGTTCGCCCCTACCTTATGCCGTGTTCGCCCCCACACTTTTCGAGTTCGACCCCATCAAGTCGAGTTCGCCCCTTGATTGAGTGATCAAGGGGCGAAGTTGTTAGACTTGTACCCGTTTAGCTTTATTTCATTCATTCATCTGGATATCCCTCAATCAAGGGGCGAACTCGACTTGATGGGGTCGAACTCGAAAAGTGTGGGGACGAACACGGTATGAGGTAGGGGCGAACTCGATAGGGGGCGAAAGCGGCGGATACCCTGCATGGAATTGAAATGGTGTGTCTCCTTACTTTTGGTTTGTTCGAGTTGATAAACCGACTACTTAAAACAAGCGAAAGGGTACTTCCAAGTTTCGATCTCCTTTTAGCGCGAATTTGGTCATGGCTTCTGACTTTTGACATTCTTTTTCAGCACATCAACGTCTGAATTGTATTATCTGACCTACGAGTTACCTCGCAACTCCCAGCCATGAGGACAACTTTGATGGTTTTCCCTCAAAGAAGAGCAACAGTAATGTGAGATTAGTGCGATCTTGGCTTGCCTGGGTTCATCTGCCTTCTCCCCACGAAGAAATAAGGGGAGGTAACCCACCGTGTGTCTCTGGTAGGATGATTCACGCGAAAAGAACACTGATTTTATCATACTGCAGGCTGAACGATTCAGTGGGGAAAAAAATCTTAGTTCTAACCCCGCTATCAACATAGGCCGGCGAAACTTAGAAAAGTGTTTCTTTTATTTTTCGTTTCAAACCTTTTCACTCCCCAATTACGATAGTTAGGGTTTCTCTCTTTATTACACCCATTTTGAAATCACTGGTGGTCCCTTTAATCTGATTGGCTCTAATTGGTGCGATTTATTCACGAACCACACCATTTTTTGCCTTAAATCGCATCTTTTTCCAGCCAATGAGGAGGCTACACTAAAAACAAATTTCCAAAACTCTTATTCCCCCCCCTCCCCCCCCCCCAAAAAAAAATGGATGAATTTAATTTCAAACTAGCTCAGTACTACATCAATGAAATATTTGAACTGACCAAATCCTGTATTTGGGCGATTTCAAAATGGATGTAATAAAGTGGTAATTGAATCTCGCGTCGTGCAATTTTGGTCTGAAATCATACTTGTGATTTCAAATTGAACTCGCACTGCGCGCTCGGTCGATTTTGAAATCACGCGTATGATTTCAGCCCAAATTGCACTCCACTCAGTTCAATTACTATTATTAATAAGGAAGTATCTGGACGTATGGAAGCAAATTTCAATGCCATGACTCATTAAAAAACTTCGATTAGTTGGAGGCTACTGAGTAAAGATTGTCAGTTTTAAACTTGTTGAATTAAAGTTTAAAACTATTACATCATTTTTGCGTCATCATTTATAATCCGAGTTACAAAGAATTATTTCATTGAGCGGGCAATAAATGTGGGCAACAAAAACATTGACGTCCATTTTTGCAAATAAACATTCTCGTTTGATGCAAAACGTTTTTAACATTGGCCGAGTTCATATTATTTACTCAATAGAATTTCTTCCAGACTGCGTACTTCAGTAATTTTACCTTTGACATGCACAAAATATCGTCCAAAAATCTCTAAAGCTCAATGAAATTTAACAACAGATACTCGTTAATGAGTAACCTTAACAGTAACCATAACCCTAAACCCGGTGACCAAATTAGTTCATGGAAAAAAATCTGGTCTTCATCAATTTGAACAAGAGGATTTTTAACTTGATTTTGGTCGACTTGATTTCGATGCTATTAATCGAGTTAGTATCTTTACGTTTCCACAGGTAACGACATTACGGTGATGAATTACCCAGTTTAAATATCAAATCAGGTTAGTTGTCATAGAAATTTCATTCTGTTTTGCATGCTGTGTTGTTGTTCAGAGAAGACGTTGAATACCTTAACAATTAACTCAGTGAGAAAAGAAAATTCAATAGAAAATTAACCTAAGCCACTGATCTCAAAGAAACAGGCTCGGAGAAGGCTACTTAAATTTAGCCTCTTTTAGACCAAAAACCTGCCTTAGACAGGCACTCCATGAAAGTTCTAAGATAAATGAACTTTTCATTTTCAGAGAAAACTGCAGGTAAACTTTCAAAATATTTCCCACTTCAGCTTAGTATCATTGGAAATGTGTAAAGAACAGTAAAGAAAATGTCTAAACTAATATTAGGGTGTAAACGGGCTTAACAGGTCTCAACGTATTTTCAAATGGAGTCGCTCTCAAATCACTTACAGACTCAATGATAATTTTTCTCCCGGGAATAATTTTGCATGTAGAAACACAACACGCCACATAGGCTTGCATCTGTATCTAATTTATATCGTCAAGCAATCATTTTATTGTCATTCTCTAACTTCACCCGGAAGAACAACCATTGTAGTGTGATCCAGAACAGGAAACTGCGGTACTAAAGTATCGATAGAGCTCACTGAATCATATATTTTTGTTCTTTCCATTTTCGTCAAATTTTTGAGAATTGGAGGACTTCCTCTGAACTAAATAGCCTCATTCTATAGCGTGGGGAAGAGGGGGTGGAGTTGAGACTTCGAAAAATTTATGCAAACGTAAGACGCAGTGAGGAGTTTGCGTAGCTTTCTAGAAGTATTCAGACCCCCTTCCCCCCCACTACTTCCCTAATCCAGACTGTTCAGATGATACAATTTGAACACGAGATAAGGTCTCACTGCTTTAATCAATTATTTTTCAAAGATATGCGCAAAACTCAGAACTTAAATTGTGTTTTCATCGATTCAACTTAACACATCCATCGACCAACGAGAGAGCGCGAGGTATCTCAGTAATGAGATGTGAAAAGTAGTAGGTTATGAAATCTTCATGCATATTTCTTTTTGAAATGATAATTCGTGTTTGAAAACATTGCGCAAGGTTTTTTCTTTTGTTTTTTTGCTGTCAAGCAGTGACGTTTTACTTGATAGCCAGACATACTGCTGAGATCTCCAAGAGGTCCACGATGAAGTTGCGAAAAGGTTCAAGTCTGAAACTAAGACGATGATTAAAGGGAAATGCGAAAAAGGAAGTGCTTATCGAAAGAACGCGAACCTTACTCAGCACGTGGCCATTTCCTTTTTGTTATAAGCCTATTGGAAGTAATTTTCAGGCTATTGAGATCTTTCCCTTAAAAGTTCGTCCGTCAATTTAACATACACGTTACTCCAATTTGTGGATATTCCAAAACAAAACAAAGCATATCTGAATGTGAAATTGAATTTTCAAGTTAACCATCAATTGATTGCTAAAATAGATAAATGTTGGAAAGGAAGTCAGCCACACTAATCAGAATGACTCGAGCTAACGAAATAAAAATAGCTGGCATCTTCTTAATTTACACTCAAGTGCTCTTATTTCGAGAAAGACTTTCGAAAATAATGTTCTAAAATAGACAAGACGTGGATTTCGTACCTTGCCCAATGCGCACTCCAAGGGTGGAAAGACGATATTAGACAGAGAGTAACCCGGATTTAGGGAGGCCAGCCAAAGGTAGGACTTATTTCAGTAGTATCAGGCTTCTGGAGCATGCTATAAGGAAAGTTGTTGTTAGAGAGTTTTATGTTTTTGTTTTTAATTCATTTGTTTTTTTTTTTGCTTTTAAAAAAAAATTGTTGAATCTTGCTTAACTCTTATATAATCGTAGTCCGTGGTTACGCCAATGGTCATTTCTAACAGAACCAGTCGCCTCGCTTAAATATATGCGTTTCAGTCAGAGATGAGCTTTTTCTTAATCTTGTTTTTAGTTTATTACAAGAGATTGCAGTCTTAGCATTCATTCATCCTAAGGTTTGATGGCCTTTAGGCCTTTAGAAAAGCTCACGGAAAATGTTTCACCAAGGAATTTCATTTTTATGAGATTACTTTACATTCAAGTTGTTCAGTACTTTAATTTTTTTTTTTACTTTTATTTTTAACAGACCTTTCACCTTGATAAAGTGGAGGAGTTTCTAGAAACACACAAACGTGTTTTGTGTTGTAGATCAGTGGCTTGTATTGTTCACATGTAAAGACAGAAAGAAGAAGGGAGCAGAGAGGGTTGGAGATAGAGAGAGGAAAAAAAAGCATCAGATAAGTTCACTGAGTTGTTTTAAAAGTCTTTAATAAAACATGCTTTTAAAACATAGAGTATACATGTGAACGTGATTCACTAAAAGCGCATTATCGCTTCAGCGCTAGATTTCTTCTCTAAGTCCAGAGACGACATGGCTACTCAGTGGATGTTCTCTTGTAAACAACACGTCCAATTTTAAGTGTGGATTAAACAAATGTCTGGACATCTGTCAGATAAAGAAACAAATTTATGATCACTTCATGACTTTGGTTTGTAAACGGTTTACAAATCGGAAATTTTTAACCCAAAACCCAATCAGTGAAAAGCTGCTATAAAAAAAGAAACAAGTCAAGTGCCTGTAAGTATTTAGTTTGCTTAAAAGCTGAGTCTCCTAAATTTGAAAGACAGCTGCTATAATTTCTGTCAATGTTTTGGCAACAAACCAAGGGTAATTAACGTCACCAGTGTCCAACAAAGTCTCAAGAACCGTGCGAAATTACTCCGGCAAAATCAGTTCGCTTGCAAAACGCGATAAGGCTTTATGATTTTTTCGAGTCATAGGCATTGTCTAGCTTTCTTGATTTCTTTAGCACTATTTTGAAGCTGTCACTGTCAGAGATGCATTAACTAGTCTTTCTACACA